CCTTGGGCTGGTTACACATGCCTTCATTGCCGAACCGGTTTCCTCACAATTCTCAACTTGAGCGTGAAATTCGGTCTTTCCAAGAAGGAGTCAGGTCATCTTTTCTTGAAGCAGGGTTTGCTGTAAGACCTGAGTTGTGGACAGTGGCTTGCCGCTACGGGTCAATGGCGATGAACCTTTCGCATCCTGCTCCTCTCGAATCTGATCTCTCACGATGGGACTTTGCAGTTGCGCACTTCGATGCCGAAGACGTCCCGCCTCGGGAATTAATCTTAGGCCAACTTGTTTTCTATCGGGCACGAGCAGATAGCAAGTTTGGTCCTAATGCCAAGCCAGGGTTGTTTGCCGGATGGAGATTGGAGCCTGGGTTCTTGTATAGGTCGGTTGTATACGTGCTGGATTTAGCCAAAGTTCGATTCAAACTTGGTTCTTGGGAAGAGGTAATATCTGTTCCTGAAGCAGAACTGTATGTGCGCTCTGGCGATCCAGTGTTTCCCCTCAAAAACGCAGCCGAACACACGCTGCAACTTTGTGGAGGAGAAGACTTCGTAATACCAGATCCTCTTCCTCTGCCTTTCTCAGGCGACCAAGCCAACATCAAGAAAAAGGCCCGAAGGATCTACATCACCTATTCAAGATTTCTGAAGCTTGGCCCTACTCCAGGTTGTACTGCCTGTGAAAGAGACCGTTCCGACCACAATCCTGAATGTGTTGCTCGTTTTGAAAAGGCGTTCGGTGACGAGGCCAAAACTTCGTCTCAACCTTTTGAGGATCACGAGAGGCTCTTGTCTTTCGAGCATCTTGGTTTGCCTGATCTTCCGCCTGAGATCGACCCAGCCGATGAAGAAGCAGTTGAAGTGGAACTTGCTGCTTTGGGTAGGTCTACAGAAAGAGATGCTGAATCAGAGCTAGACTTCCTCAGGACGCCGGAATACGAACCTTCCATTCCCGAAGATGATGAAGCACTCCCCGGTGTTGGAGCTTTGCCTGCCTGTCGGCATCAGAAGCCTGGTGCATTGGTACTTTATGAGTTTTGCTGCGCTCCGGATTCCATGATTGGGCACCTTGGTCCAGAACTGGGTGTTCAAGTGGTTCGGTTGTGCCGTGAAAGCATCAATCTCGAGGATCCCTTGGCCATCGATCAGCTCATCCACCAAGTCAGTGCAACTCCTGGTTGCTGCATCCATGGATCCCTTGAATGTGGACCTTGGTCAGCGTGGTCCCGCATGAACCTGGCCACTAAGCCGGGGTACCTTGAAAAGCTTACCGCCGAAAGGGAGAAATCCCGGAAGCTATTGTTGCAATTCATCCGGGTTGCTGCATTAGTCATACTTCAGGGGGGTGAAGTAAGTTTCGAGTGGCCAAGAGACGCTGCTGGTTGGTCTTTGCCTGAGATCATTGCTTTTGTTGACCAGTTCAATCTTCTCACCGTTGAGTTCCACGGATGCGCTTTCGGACTTGTGTCTTCCAGAGGTGGCCCAATGCTGAAGCCTTGGAAGATATTGACTAGTAGTAAGCGTTTGGCACATGACTTTGCGGCTTATCAGTGTTCACATCCTAAGCACTTCAAGCACGATACCGTTGAAGGTTCAGACTCAAGACGCTCAGCCTTTTACCCTGAGGCCATGGCCAGGGCAATTTTGGCATCTTTGTTTCCTTATGCGAAAGCATTTGTTGCACCAGCGTTGCCATGTGTGCCCACTTTTCCTCAACTTCACAGGGTTAAGGACGTTCGGCCGCCACTACCGCTCGATCTCCTGATGTTTGAGTCTGGTATGCGCCACATCCGAATCCCTGGTTACGTCCATCGGCTGTTGGATAGAAGGGAATGGACTTCCCAGCCTGCTGCGCTTGAAAAGGTCCAAGAAGAAAAGGATGGTCTTTTGAAGGCAGGTACCTGGATAGAAGAAGAGATCATGCCGAAGAGTGAGGTTCTTGCATGGGCTCGCAGGACTTCCAATGTGATCCACTTCGGAAACTTGATGGTCATCATGAGTGTGAAAGGCGCCGAACTAGAGCCTGATTCTTGGAAGCTTAAGGCGCGTATCGTCTTTCGTGGAGACGATATACGTGACCAGACTGGAATGTCTGCTGTGTTCGAAGAACTCTTCGCGTCTGCCCCTTCTTCGCTTGAGGGACTGAACACGGTCATTGGATTCGGTCTTCTCGAATCTCATGGTGTGACAACTAGCGACGCCATTAAGGCGTATACACAAGCAGCCTTGAAGAGCAAAAACCGAACTTTCGTCCTCTTGCCACCAGAACTCGTCCCAGCTTCTAAGAGAGACGTAATTCAGCCCTGTGCACCGCTCTACAAGGCCTTGTATGGACACCCTGAGTCATCAGCGCATTGGCAAAGGCATTTGCATGGCATTCTCACTGGTCTTGGTGGAATTGAATTCCCCAACCTTCCTTCTGTGTATTATTTTCCCACATTGGATCTGATCTTGTGCGTATATGTTGACGACCTCACATTGAGCGGGAAGTTGTCGAAGCATAAAGGTTTCTGGAGTTCCTTGTCGAAACAAGTTGACCTCGAGCCTTATGCTCCTCTCACCAGAGTGCTTGGTCGCAGTCATCGCCACGTCTTGTATGACAATCAACCAGCCCTTGCGTTGGAAACTGAAGACTTCGCCAAACAGTGTGTTGACTTGTATGAATCCTTGGTTGGTTCCGCTGTTAAGCACCAGAGGACCCCGCATGTTGACCCAGGAGCTCTATCACTAAGTGATAATGATGCTCGGGGTTCTCTTGCTGACAGCGCCGCTCGCATCCTGATGAAGATTCTGTGGCTTGCACGTTTGAATCGCCCAGATCTTATGGTGGCCGTCACTACCCTCACGACCAATGTCTGTCGTTGGTCAGTGAACGATGATAAAAGGGTTGCCAGGTTGGTGGGTTACATTGCTGCGACGGTTCAATACAACCCTGTGATGTTTGTCCACGACCCAGCTTCATCTTTGCACCTTGCCCTGTATGTGGATTCAGATTTCGGCGGATGTCCTGACACCGCACGTTCCACAAGTGGGTATATCGTTGCCCTTGAAGGAAGCAACTCATTTGCTCTTCTGTCATGGTCCAGCAAGAGACAGAAAGTGGTCTCAAGGAGCTCTACCGAAGCAGAATTCGTGTCCTTGAGCAGTGCGCTGTTCAATGATGCCTTGCCATTACTTGAAGTTTGGCAAACCATAATCCCTGGCATTAAGCTCTTGTGTCGTGAAGATAATGAGGCTTGCATTGCCATTGTCCGTAAAGGATATTCAGCTAAGCTGAGGCATTTGTCCAAAACTCATCGCATCAACGTTTCATCTACGTGCGAAGCTGTGAACGACAACGATGATGTTGAACTGGGCTATGTCAACACTAATGACCAGAAAGGTGATCCTTTGACGAAGGCTCTTTCGGTCCAGAAGTGGGCTCATGCACTGAAGTTGCTCCACATCTCCACTGAGCGTCTGCCAGATGTTCCCATCTAAGCATGCACTTCCCTGTCATCTGAAGTCTTTTGAAAATTCCTTGGGTGATATGTTTGTGATGGTTGTCAAGCTGCTCCTGCGCTACCTCCATCATCGTGCTTTTGCAGACACTTGGATATGAGCCATCATCCCTGTGTCATCTGAATGAGTTCTTGAGGATCTCATCCTGCACTTCTTGCCTGCCCTCAGCCTTGCACTGCGTTGTGTCAGTGTCCGGCTGCTCCCAAGCGCCGCTCTGACTTCGCCTGAGCACAGTCCTGCACCGGTTGAGAGTAGTTTTGTATAGATTGCAGGTAGAATTACCTTAAAGGTTCATTGAGTCTGTGTTTCAGCCTGATCACCTGAGATACCGGATTCAACTGCGCATGGCTGAGCCCGCGCCACAATCGACAGTAGGTGTAGCTGCTGAGCTGAGCTTGCAGCTGCAGTCTTCCTAAAGTCCGTAATCGAGCTGTAATGAGCTTGGCGACTGAAAGTTCTGCAAACATGAAGGGGGGAGTTGAAGAATCACGAGCTTCCTTCCTCTATTGTAAAGCATGTATAGTCATGTTGTGCAGACTAGGATGACTTACCTTCTGACCATTTTTGGCTCAAGTAAAAAGGCCGCATGAGGTGCGGCTTGCACGCAGGGTTGAGGGCTTTGAGGGTCCCTGAACCCTTCTTTTGGTTGTGCCTGGTCCTTCCCCTTTTAGGCTTAGGCCAGATTCTAACCTGTTCAACTAAAAAGAAGCGAATACGATCTAAGCCTCGTGGGGCGCACAACACTCTCCTCTTCATGGTCTAGGGATGTAGAGACTAAGAAGACTTGGGATCCCTCCACTTTCGGGCTTGGCCATTGTGATTTCAGGAGTATAGTGAGACGTGAAGGGGAGGGAGAGCCACCTGCCTTGTGGTTTATGCAATAGGATTTGGGGAATAAGATTAAGATGAAGGGAATAGGATTTGGGGAACAAGACTTGGGGATCCCGCTCTTTAGGGTTTAGCGAAAAGGGTTTAGGAATTTTGATTTATATTCTGGGGTTTAGGGCCTCTCCTCCTTGGGGCCATTGTTGTCTTATGTTTACGATGACTCATACTACAGAGAATGTGTTTTTACAGCGCGGGGAACCTTAACTGGCTGCCTCCCACGGAGGGACCATGGTGCAACCTCGGCATTCATTCGCATATACGCAAAGTTTATAAATGTATGTGTGCATTCGTGTATATATTTATATGCATGTATGTATGTATGCATGCATGCATGTATGTATGTATGTATGTACAAACGTGTGTGTGTGTGTGTGTGTGTGAGAGAGTGTGTTTACGTGGGTGTATAGCTTGACTTCGAGGTGTATCCATGCGGGGCGGCATGCTTAATTAGACACACACACACACACACGCATATATATATATATACACATACATACATAATTGAATATATATATATATATACATATACATGCATATAAAGTGGTATACATAGAAATGTATAGCTAGAGAACATCGCACCGCATAGACATGTCTTGCCACGAGCAGCTTTGCCAGGAACCGATCCCAGAGTGTGAGTGGAAATCTGCTCGGCGTTCTTTTCGATTACTGTCCAGGAACTTGCTCAGCATAGCAGAGCAATTAAGCGAGACTTCCAGCACGTTGGCGGAGTCCGTGCGCTATGCTGGCGAGAAGCTGCGCCGTGCAGGCAAGCTGTTTGTTGCTGGGGGCTTCCAAATGCCTGTGGATCCGCGGTTTTCACGCGGGGAGCGTGGTGAGTGGGGCCAACAAACCTACAACAGCTTCTATGGCTGGGGGGAGCCAAGCCCCGAGGCACAATTGGAAGAGGAAGCGCCTGCGGGGACTCCAGCGGCCCAGTTGGTGGAGAGCATCAAGGTGGAAGTGGCGGATGCAAGTGCTGGAGGCGAAAAAGAACTCCGCACAGTGCTACGGCAACTGGTGCGGCGCCTTCATCCGGATCAGAATCCTGGTAAGGAGGCGGAGGTGTTGCCTGCCTTTCGGTATATCCAACGCCTTCGTTCTCAGGAGGCGGATCGCAGGCGATAGAAGGCGATGCCCACAGAGCACCTGCGAGATGTTGTGATTGTACTCACTCAGGTTTCGCATGCGTGGTGCCTGTGGAGAAAAATGCATACTAAGGACAGCAAAGATACGTAGGATCATATTGTCAGTACGGGCTGTCGGGGCCTGTGTTCTTCAAGCCCCTGAACACCATGAATGGGGAGGAGGCGCTTTGCACAGTGGTGGTTATTGCCATGCCCTGCCAGGTCGAAGGGGGCAAGAAGGTCGAGGAACAAAGTGACGAGAAAGATATGGGCATGTCCTACGCCGCGTGGATGCAAACAGCGCAGACGCTGCCTGTGCATGCGATGCAGAAGACGTGCCCAGGATGAGCTGGGAGACCTGGGGCATCTACGGAAGGCCTCTTTTTTCGAATCTCCGTCTTGCATGACATGACGTGCGGTGACTTGGAGAGGTGGAGAAGTGCGGCCCGCTCTCCACGTTCTTAAAGCTGCGTCAGCTGTGGTCCCACAAGACGGCGGATTGGACGGGCCCGCAGGTCAGATCCGCTCCGTAGGTGCTCCGTGTTCAACTTTTTTGAGCCGTGTCAAGCGGTGTCAAGCCCTCGAGTCTTCGGAGGACAATGACCGTGCCATCACACCCTCTATCAGGGTCAAAGATCAGCCCAAGACCTTCGACGAGAAGGTTGCGCAGAAGGCACACCTGCGTCCAGCCATAGAAATGAATCGAGGGAAGCTGTGCCGTTGCATTGCAGGTCAAGGACTTCTATTTTTACAATGCGATCAATAGACACAAGATGACCACGCTGACACCTTCCTACCATGCGGAGAACTACTCTCCTGATGATAATCGTGGCTCGCTCCGCATCGCAGTCATGGAAGTGACACGAGTCTTCAGCACGTGTCCGCGACCTGCCCTCGCCCAGGATTTGATTTGCGCCCTTTCCTTTTCCCAGCGACCTTCGAAGCGCAGTTCGAGGCGATCGATGAAGTAGTGAAAGCTTGCCGCAAGGATTGAGTCACCGTCGAAGTAGGATTCACATCTGCAGCCAAGCTGAGATGGATGGCTAGCAGAGTGTTTTAAATTGAGTTCGAATCCTGCTTCGCCCCCGCCTGGAGAGCTTCCTGCCTCCAGCAAGCGCAACCCTGCGACCGTCGGCAGTCGCCGCGAGTCTCAGCGGGATATCTCTTTAGTGAAAAAGCGTAGCACATTTTGCGTCACATGGTGACATGCTCCTGTCAGAGTTCCGTCAGCGTACGGAGTTGGGGGGGCCGGGTATTTCAGTCTGTAAGACTGAGGTGCCCCTTTGTCGGCCCGAGGCTGCAGCGCGTTGCGAGCTGAGTTCATCTGCGTTCGTTTTCGCGAGTCGTGCTGCGGCAGTTCCGATGTCTTCTCAGGCCCCAGGCGTTTCAGGACCTCCTTTCTCTCCATTTCACTATCACATACTTGCTTCTCCTGCGAGCTCCTCTCACAAGCCTTCTCAAGCCAATGTCTCGCGACAAGCTACCTGAGGCCCGTCGCTTATGCTGTGCGTTCAGCATGTGCCCAGTGTCGAACAGTGTGTAGTTACTGGTTCAACGGCTCATGGTCGGGAACCTTCCGCTGGATGGAGTACCTGCGTGTGATACGCAGGTACTCATCGAACGCCTGCACCGGTGGTGGTGCGGCAGCAGACGATGCAGGGCGGCCAAAGATTGCACTCATTGTGGGCTCAATACTTTCGGGGATAGACTTGTCACTGACTTGTCAAAAATTGTCACCGGATTTTGCCGGTGGCAAGGCCTGTGCCTGTGGCGACGCGGTGTGTCCCGAGAGCAGCACCGGCAACAACAGGTGCCGGGAGATCGAGGGAATCGTATCCTTCTTGTCGAGCTGCATGCAGAAATTGTAGAATTGTTTAGGTTCGTGAGCTTGCGTAATTGAGTAGCCACTATATTTCTTGTGCTTTGGAACGGAGGGCACCTTCTTTGCGTCTATATGAAAAATAAGGGTTCATGCTACATTTGATCAGTTTTCTTGTTGTATATATGTATATATATATATATAGATTCTGTTCTAAATTATACATATATATATATATTCCGCATATACATATACATACATACATATATATATATATATATATACATTTGTATTTATACATGCGTACACACACGTATATAGATAGATATATATATATATATATATATATATATCGGTCTATGTCTCTACCTGCATACACATTATCCCGCTTTTCAAGCTGTGCAAGCTTGCTGCTTTGAATCCTTTGCAAACACATCGTGCGAGCATTGCAGCCACCCCGCTTTTCAAGCCGTGGCTTCAAAGCATCCCCTCCCCACATGTTTGAGCCAAGCTTGCTTCAAAGCATTTCAAAGCATATGCATGTCTTTTGAACCCATGCGAGCATTGTCTTTGCAAATGGGGGGAGGGGGGCCTGCACCCCTCCCACCGCCTGCGCTTTGTTGAGCCGTGCAAGGAGGTTCTCTCATGAAAACCAAGGAAAAGGCTTTTCTTTGGACAAACAAAGGAAACAGAGCCAACGTTAAGAAGGATTCGAACAAAATCAAAAAGAAATCCTACGAAAGCAGGAAAAACCAAGAACATGGACAACACAAAATCCCCCAAAACATCCACCCTTCTGGAATGGGTCGTGTGGACCTCCTTTGCGCCGTGCATCTGCATCTTGGTGTGGCAGTGTGGCGGAGGCTCGCATGAATTGAAGCTCTGGGGGACTTCTCTCAGCAAAGAGTTGGACTCTCGCTATCCGGTAACCTTGTGCCTGGCTCAGTTGGGACGTCTGCACGATACATAGGGCCACAATGGGCCACATTGGGCCACCGTCTGCGAAAATGCCTCTGTCATGTTCTGAAGGCTTGTGAACGACATCGTGTCGGAGCTTCTCGATGCACCTCCCCAGCCTCTGACAGCCCCAGAGCTCAGGACCTCAGCGGAGTAGGGCGCAGCAAAGCGCAGCCGGGGGTCAGAGAGACTCTGTTTGTTCAAGCCATGCGCATGGGCGCGCATGGGCGTTCCCTTGCAGGAAAGACCTGAAGCCGCGGCTGGTGACCGTGATTCTGGATTCGATTGCCGCCGAAGGCTCTACGCAGCAGGGACCTTGATGGGGATCTTCGTGATACTTCCTGGGATGTGCGTGGAATCTACGACTCTTTGGCAGACTGAGGGCTGGCAGAGTACCCGCCAGCGCCGCGGCCCGAGTTCTTGGCTGTCTTTCTCTCTTTCTCTCATTTTTGAAAAACTCTCTCTCTATCAGTCTTTTGTGAGCTGTGCCAGGAGCGGGCGATGCTAGCTGTTGCTTTCCACAACTCCGAGGTGTCCGATACATCCGAGAAATCCTTCTGAGAGTTGATGGGGTCCAGGGCGCATGCTCTTATATAATAGGGCCACTTACTGAACTTATTCTTCGCACGCTGCATCGTACTGTAGCTTTCGGAGGCCTGGCAGCAAGTCTGTGGAGCAGCCAGGCTTCGTGGGAGCTTTATGCTTATGGTGTAGCTTGCAACCAACTTCGGCACACCAGCGGGGAACATCTCTGAGCCATCTTGTACGTGCTGGAGGGAGGCTCGGTTTCAGTGGGCGCCGTGCATGTCCGGTGTCGACGTCGCGAGAGGCGCCAGTGTTCGGCCAGTGGTGTTCCTCACTACTTGGCAGAGTTGCACTCAGAGCCGTGGCACCTCAACATTGTTGCGTGTGATAGCTGCGCCATCAATGTCAATGCAGCATCAGGCACGGATCCTCGAATCGCTCAGAGCGTTCTTAGGCTTGCCCAAGCTTTCGGAGGACCTGCACATTGGGTGCAGAAAGGCCAAAGGAACGTGCAGTTAGAAGTCAGGACTGCGACAGCGACGGCTGGGCGCCTCCGATACAGCCTCAGCATCGCAGCGTACTGTGGCGCACTGGGCCTTGGCAGGGATTGTACTTATGTTGGACAATGTCTTACCGCGGTTTCAGGCCGGAGCAGCCTTTGCATCCTATTGACGACGTGCCCCCGCTGTTGTCAACACGTGGTCGCTGGCAGGAGGCTGGCCGAGCAATTGTGCCCCACACCACCGCTGTTTTGGGTTCTTTGAGCTCTTCTCTAAGGAGCAGCTCCCTGCAGCCTTCCTTCAACTCAACGGAAGCCTCCAGGCTCGCCCTTTCCCTTCATATTCATTCGCTGTCTTTCAACGACGCCGGACAGGAGCCGACAACGCTTCTGGAGCAGTCAGAATCAGGGCCTGTCCGGATCTCGGGAGTTCCCGTAGCAGTTCTCGCAGAGCTGTGGTAGAGAGTATGAAAGCATATGACAGCAGAGTGCCCTTGTGGCAGAATGCAGCGTGTTATGGCATCTTCCTAGGTTTCGTCAGGTTCTCTGGACTGGATGCAGCACACGGGCTGCGGAGAGCTGGTGCCTCATGGGCCTTAACGGACTGTATTTGTGCAGTCCATTCTAGTAATTCTAGTAGAGCTCAGGCCCACAATGGGATTTTCCGAAGAGGGGAGGAGCACCTCCACCGAAGCACCTTGTCAGATCGGCCTGTGAAAGCAGTCGGTCGCAGTGTCAGTGACGGTCAGCTGCCGTTGAATGCTCCAGTGCCCTACCGAGGCCGTATTGCAACTGCCCGAAACTTAGCCGAGACCATGATGTGGGATTCTGTGGGATGCAGTTGTAGGCAGGCATGTCGTTCCCGCTGTTTGTCAAGAGGTACTTCTGTAGTTGCTCAGTGAAGAAGTAGAAGGAGCGATGAGCTCACAGCTGCGCGCTAGGCCCGGCGTACGCGCTCGCAGCAGTGACTCCCCGAGGCCAGCATCGAAGCAGCCCGGGGGTGGTGTTACCGAGACAAATCCAGACACTGTTGAGATACCAGCCAGGTAGGTACAGGGCCATGGGGGAGCGCAGGAAGCAGAACCTTGTTGTTAGCCATCTAACTGCTCGCGTTGACGTGCGGGTGTTGGCTCAATATATTCACGCGCTGAAGTCGCGTATGCCCGCCTTCTGTTGGTAGCAAGTGTTGGATGCCTTGAAGCCGCGGTCTTGACATCAGATGTTGAGCTGACCACCAGTACCACTTCCACGAATTAGGTAATGACTCTAAGGTGATGGAGCGGGTGTCCAGCTGGGCAGCGGGCGTGACAGAGGCTCGATGGTCGGGTCTCGTCAATCACCGCCTGGTGCTGCTGTGTCGCTTAACTCTCAATCAACTCGCCCTGTAGGGGACATGGGGTAAAGAGAATTGTGCTGTACAGGCTCTGGCTGAGAAGGACTATGCGGTCTCCGTTTGGGCCAATTTTGCGAATTTCATGGATTCCTTAGACCAAGGCTCCACGGACTGTCGAGTTGCTGTAGGAAGCACCTGCAGGGTAGCTGCTTCGTCGAAGCAGGTCTTGTAGCACTGACAGCGCTGGTGCTGGGTCAGCATCTCAGGATGTCAGGCATTGCCCCATGCGCAGATTATCTTCCCGTCGTAAAGATGGAGCTTCGATCCCGCAGCAGCCATGAGAGCCTTTTTTAACAAGCATCCTCCATGGTCCCACGTATGGAGGTGGCCGCGAGTTGTGCGTCAAAAGTCTCGGCCCGACTCGAAAATTTTGAAAGACCTTGGAAGGCTTGCCTGCGAGGAAGCTTACGTCTTAGGGTTGAGAATCGTTGAGAATTGCTTTTGGAGCTTCCTGTAGGCCCTGTAATCTCCAGAATTGTAAACACCCGAGAAAGTTCCTAGGATTGGCGCTTGGTGGCTGGTTTCCTAAGGAAAACCAAGGACATGGGCCAACAACAAAACAGTCGCGAAGAAACGCCCCTATCAAACCCTCAAGGTTCTCGAGCTTAGGACGATGCGCCCAATCGGCAATTGTAAGAGTCTTGTCATGATTATGACTATATTCCAGTCAATGTCGCCTTCACAGAAGCATCATTACACACTTGCCGTGCAAAAAATCGCGGCCGAGAAGCAGGATTTCATCTCTTCCATGCGTAGCTCGTGTTCGATTTCGATCATTCAAGACCTCAGAACTTTCGCAATCTTTCTGCAATTCTGCAATGGGAGCCACGAACGCACCTTGGGCAACCCACCGCAGACCCTCCGAACACGATCTTCCAATTTTTAGCACATCAATGGGGTCTTGAGGCCAGAAACAAGTATGGAAGCCCGCTCTGCAAACCTTGTGGCACTGGCAATCATGATAAAAACCCCAAATTGGCATGCTTGGCATGAGCCAACCCACGAAGCAAAATATGTGGAAGTATTGAGCAACCATTTTCGAATTTCCCTGGCGACAGTTGTAAACATCAGGAGGCATGAAGAAGACGCCTCTGGGCGCGCAAAAGAACCGTAAGAGGCCATGGACAACCCAGGTGCAAGCTTCGTTGCACGTGGCTTTGCCATCATGAAGCCCTTGGCTGTGGCCGCCTGAGCATGTAAACGCTGGAGCTGTGGGACGATTTGAAAAGTGGTCAGCCTTTGCAGGTTCTTGGCTTCTCTGGGGGCCTTGCTGCACACACGTGTCTCGTGGCTCTGCACGAAGGAAAGGGGGCCCTCCAAGGTCGTAAGCGATGCTGTACGCGATGCTGTGCACTCGCCCACCTTGCAATGTACGCAGGACAAGGCATTGCAGGCGCCGTGTCGGCCACCGTGGTTGGCATCTGCCCTGGGCTTAATTGGAACAAAAGCACAACAGCAAGAATGTGGCAGGCAATGTGGGCAGTGCTTCAGCCGTCAGGTGGCGTGGTTTTCGCGCATCGTGTTTACCCGCTCTTTGTCTTCTTCCTGGGATGCTTGCTCGGAGGTGCCTTTTTTCGCGACATCTCGGGGGGCTCTCATGGGTCTGCTCTTCCAGTGTCAAAAGGAGGTGCCGCCTTCCTCAGCCGCGAGTCCCTGGGCTTGGCCGGCGCACCAGCCGCACTCCTCGGCCTTGTGGCGCTTGTCGCGGCCTTCACCGGCTTGGCCCGGAGCCTAGCCAAAGCCCAGAGCATCCCAGACTTACCTTGATCACAAGCCCCTGCGTTGCCCACATGGGCATGGACTCAGGTCATGAGCAACTTGGCCAAATGCTAGCAAACAGCTTTGGCGACTGTGATCGCGAGCCGCTGGCAAACAAGCCTATAAAGTGTCTACAGATGTCTGCAGTTGCCCGCTGCCCAGAACACTTCCGAATCTTCAGCTGGCGCTTGCTCACTCCTCTGGCGGGCGGAGCAATGGCAGCGGCCAGCATGCGGTTCTGGGCGGCCGGGCCAGAACAGCATGCACCAGTTGCGGGTGTTTAACGTATTGCCTTTCTTCTGGCGTTCTCAGTCGTCTGTACACCCACCTTTGTCCGCAGCCTCTGGCTGCTTGACATCTAACTTGGTTTCATGATCTTTTCAATTTCCTTCTGACCTGCGACTTTAGAACTCTCCTCCGAGATTTCGCAACCGAGCCCCGCAAAGCGCCATGGACTCTGGACCCTAAGCTGCGCCATGGCCGGGTATCGCACTCTGCTCTGCCTCTTGCTTGTGGGGGTCTCCTGCTGCTTGCTGATGAATGCCGCAGTCCTCTACCGGGGTTGCTTGGCTGCAGTCGGAAGCAGATAAAGGGGCCCGGCCAGCGCGATCTTTTGCATTTTGCGGTCAATCGATCAATCAGGAGGAGTGTGGCGGGCCTACTTCTTACCCACCGAGGAAGTCTGGGATTCCATCCATGCGCATGGACAGGGGCTGACGGGAGGCATATGGGGATATAACCAATCCAAGCTCGAAAACTATACGATGACGCTTCGCTTGAAGCATGTCAGTATCTCAATAGTCTTTTGTTTGCTGTGGTTTTGCTTGTTTTTTTGGCTTTGACTTGGCAACCGACCGAAGGATGAGATACCTATATGAGAAGTCCTACGAATCAATCTGGGATGTTTCGTGCAATGTAGGCTTCATGCTGGCAAGCCTGCTGAAGAAGCATCCTGGAGCAAAGCACTATGGCACCGACATTAGCAACATCATGGTTCAGACCACGCGAAGCAATTGTCCCAGCTGCGTGGCGGCACAATTCGACCTGGACACTCTCAGACGCTCAGGAGTCTCTGTGCAGGAGGCTGTTCATGCAGCCTGGCATCGAGAGGATGCCCCTCGCTCGTTTGATATTATCTTGGTCTCCGACGTGCTCCTGTTTATGAGCTGGGGTGGGATACCTCCTGTACTACTGCGATGCAGCTGCTGCTGTTCCATGTTTCGGAAATGGGCGCTGCCATCTCAACGCGTTTTCATGAAGAACATCGCCAGCCTGGCACGGGATGAGGTAGTCTTCTCCCGCCACCAGGGCAACATCATTGTTGTGACCTTGATGGAAGAGCTTGGAGTCCCCTTTGACAAGAAACATCAGATTTGGCGGATACCCGGTACTGCCAGGGCGGCATGATTTGTTGGCAGCGATCCAGATCTGGTTGTCGTTGCACAAGGGCATCTACACGATGCCACGAAGCGAACGGTCGGCGAGGCCGACGATGAAGGTAGCAACCTTCCAGCATGGACGAAGAGGTTTGCTGAGGCCTGCTGTGATCGAGCGATGCAGATATTGCATCCATTGCAAATCCAGGCCTTGGTGCATGAAAAAGGCTTCTTGCAGCTGATCTACATGTCGACATGCTTCCACACTATGTTGGTTTAAGCCCGAGCCTGCGGAGACTCTTGAGTTTGAAACCCTTTTTCGGATAGAAATCTCAAGATTCAAGAAGGAATCAAGCCTCTGTTTCTCTTAGGGTCCCTACCTCAGAAAGCGAACACAAGGGATTCTCCCAAGGAAGCCTAAGGTCAAACCCCGAACGAGTCAAGACTGGAGTATGGAGTACTGTATAGTGGAGACCATTTACCCGTGAACGTTTTCATCTCAGGTGGTCTCCACATTTGCAAACGGGACTGGCGCCTCTCTGCTGCATTGACTTAAATGACTCAGGTCAGGACCGGGGACAGATGGTAGGAGGGCGCAAAAAGCTGGCCTGTGCTCATGTGCAGGGAGCCCTGCGTGAGGCCCACTGGCTGGACTTTACGAAGGTCTCCATCAACCCAGCTGACGTTGTGTCTGACCCTCTCGATGCTTGGGAGGCATCTACTCCAGCCCATGCATCTGATGGAACTGTGGGCGCCGGCATTTGTGTCCCCACTTTTGTATGATAGACTGCCGAGGAAGTTTTTTTTGTGATTGCCTGGGGTATCGCTGCTTGCTTGGGATGGATGCTTGGCCCCGACTTAGCCCAGCCACGCTTCTGAGATTCTACTGACCTGCTCCGACGGGCTGTGCTCTGTCGTGTTCTGCTTTGCACGCTCCTTCCTCGAGCGCCGAGGTATGCGCAGCTAATTGCCGTTGCTGCCAGTGCAGACCCACTGGCGTTGCCCGACAGTGTGGCCTTCCGCTTGCAACAGCCGCTGCGCTACATCGAGAGGTGTTTTTCAAATATCGATGTGCGAGTGGAGATGGGAGACGGTTGTGAGGTTGGAAAAATTCTGCCCCTGGGTCTTCGACGAGGGTGAGGATCAGCAAGGGAAAGACGGGAAACTCACATGGGGCTTTGGGGAGTGCCCATGGAGTGCCCCAGTGCCCCCCGAGCTTCCAAACTTGACGCCAGGAGTTCTCCAGCAAGATCCTTCCCCGAAGGCTCGCGCAGGAAAGCATGCCATTCCTGCCAAAGGAGGACGTCGAGATGGATGATTTGGCGCCTTGTATTGCGCTGAAAGTTCGAGAATTCTGAAAACGCAGGCTGAAAAACTGAGTAGACTCAAAACGGACTCGCGGTTTGTTTATTCAACTGCGGCCTCTGTGGTGATCTCTCACGGGGCTCCCCTTCGTTTGGTGAAGAAGGCACCAACATTGACGCCCACCGAGGCCAAGAAACCCAATTACAAGCCGGAAGCTGTGCTGGCTTCCATGGTGTTCAGCGTGCTGCTGCTCAACTTTTTCATGCTCGGTGGCCTGTCGAAGCTTTGATCCTGTCGGCGCATGAGTGCGGCACATCTTGAGAAGTAAGAGGTTTTGGTGACAAGTGACAAGGCAAGCCGCTTCTGTTCTTGGGTCACGTGGTTCTCATGGCTGCCGCGTTCCAGGCTTTTTTGCTGCTTGACTGCATCTACCCGCAAGCTTGACGGGAAACCACCTGCATCGCCAACTTGGCAGGACGGCCGGTCTTATGAGTTATGCGTCGCCCAATCGGCTTCTGCCCGGCCTTTCGGGATCAAACTCACCCCTCCTGCGCCACTTCACGCACGCGACCTTCAACATCTTGGCCCCTGGGCAGTCTGGGCATGCGTCACACATCGGATACACATGGCTCCTCAAACCCGAACTCGGTCGGATAGCGTAGAGCTCGTCCAGGTGCTCTTCTGCGCGATCGTGGGCTTCCTGTGCATGTACGCGCGCCCCGACGTGAAGAAGTCACGGCGTGGCATTGTAGCGCACGATTTCCCCCAATCACTCCGTCCTACTTCGTCTCTCTTTCTACCTGTCTTGATCCTGAGAGCAGCGGGGCTTAAGGAGCCGCTTCCTGGCGCACAAGTCTCAAGTTGACGCGGGCTCTTGGACAGGGAGCCTCCTTTGGATCTAATGCGTTTTGGATTTTCTCGAGTCTCTTGCAGTGGTTGTAAATACCGTGTTTTGCTATGTTTTGGCCTCTGGTCACAAGCTGGGCCCAGGACTCTGCACGTGTGGACGGGATACGCTGCTTGGGTGCATTCGGTGAACTGAGATAATTAGTCGGGAGGTACGGGGCCAGAAGTCCGAGGTGACACTGGCACTGCTCTTTGTGATGGCATTCTCGGGAGCTGTGAAGATGATTGCAGGCGGGGCCATCAGAGTGACAAGATGCTTGATCTGCTGTGCTTCCAAAAGGCCCATGCTGCAGGCCTTACTTCCGGGAATGCCGATGACGTGGCGAAATTCCACTCACACCTGGGAAAAAGCCTCTATGGCTTTGCAGGGGCGACCTGGAAGCAAGATGAAGCACGGGAGGGATGGAACGCGAGACTTGATGGTTTTGGTGCCAGTTTGGGCTCAGATCTGCCAGCTGCTGGGCTATTTTATGCCGAATCTGCTGCCGCTGTGGGGGCCCGGGCCCTAGGGCTTTAGGGCCTGTGTCCGTGTCGGTGTCCGCGTCGGTGTCCGCGTCGAGGATGCCTTGGTGAGGTCTGTTCTTCTCAGTGTGGTCCTCGTCGCCGGCACGTCGGCAACAATCTTCTTTCTCAACGCTCGCAGTCCTGAAGTTGTCAGGCGCATGAAGAGGCCACGGTCAGAACACAATTGGCCTCATGCCTCATGCCTCGCATGCACTTCATTGCGCGCGAGGTTCAACGTTGGGGAGGATTTGTCCTGGGATCCAGCACGAGAGGCATCGCTTGTCTTGGCCAAGCCCACGGCGTATCGCCACTCGTTCTCCAGCGCTTGGGCTGCAGCCAACAGCAAAACGCCAACAGCAAGCCAATCAATGCTTGTCCCACCCTATATTGTCGCTGGAGGCAATGCCACAACTCGGATCGAAAGCTTGCGGAGCATCACGCGCAATTCCTCCATCACCAGCGCAGCAGCAGGCAGGTACCATGCCAGTGAGTGGTACGGAAGGAATGAAGAGAACGATGGCACATGTTAGAGACCGGGGCAAGTGCGTCGACAGGAGTCATGGGACAGCGTGGTGCCGTGGCTGATGTTGGATGTGCGGCTATGTTTTATCACGTCTTATATCTCACGTTCAGTTCTGGAACACATGAGTGCGTTGCCCGTTGGGAGCCTGCAGGCAGTCCGGGATACGGTTAAAGATTTGGCATAGACCTCTCCTGAAGGTCAGGTTCACACCTTCGACTGGGATGCCGTTATGGAAGCCTTTGAGATCCAGGAGCGTAAAGCCACTGTGTCGCTGTACTTCACGCACTGGCACAGGCACCTGGGCTGCAGCATAAGAAGTTGAAAACTAACTATGAGAAGATGACGCCAGAGAGAGTTGAGAGGACCGTTTATGTTCCTGATGTGCCTTGCAGTAAGACATCTCCAGCACTGGCCGAGGCACACGCAGTCCAGCATGATTGCAAAAGCGCAAGCCGACGCCGAGCTGCATTCTTCAAGCTTGTGCCCAGTCCAATCCTGGTGCTGCACAAAAAGACGGAATTGCAGGTGCAGATGGGCTTCAACTGGCTTTTTCAAGTGTGCTGAAAGTCCCAAACTTGAGGCCCTGTGCCTGTACCGCAGAATCGGAAGCAGAAGAGCCCGAGAAACATAGCACCCAAGGCTGCCACACGAATATCTCAGATCAGAACTGAGAGCCTTCTCACTCCTTCTCGCTCTGAGGATCTGGAGGGGTCTAACAACCTGGTGCAATTCCTCTCGTCGGCTCTTGTGCCTGGGCTCACTTGGGGTCCTCCTCCGCAATTGGGGGTTTGCGATATCAGGGGCACCCGGGGTGAATATTATATGGGAATCTTACCATTTGGGGGTCTATTTAGGGGTCCCCTAACTTCGTAAATTTTTTATTGAGCCACTTTTTTGCAACGAGGATACCTGCACCAAGGGAAAGATTGACTGGGCACTTGCTTTTGCCTGTAGATTTCAGAATCAGTACCGTATGTGTTGCCTCGTTGCTCTGCCCGACGAGTGGAAGCAAGGTGACACCTGGCGGTGAGCCGTGAACCGCCTTGCCGTGCCTTTTAACCGGCAGGCCTGGCAGAAATCAGAGCTACGCAATGGCAAGTTGCAGCTATGCCAGGGGTTGCTGCTTTTTTTCAGTCCAACTTGTGAAGGTGCATGCGATGTGAGATCCGGAGCCTACAGACGGGCATCTTGCAAGCCTCCTTTGTCATGGTTCCGACCAGGCTGACCCGGCCAGAAGATAGACTCGAGGAAAATGCCCCCAAAAAATGTTGATTCTTGCAGATGCCAGGCTGCTTTGGACTCTTATCAGGTTTTCCTTTTGCATGGCCTTTGCAAAGGCAGGGCTTAAATTGAGTCTGGAGAAGGGCCAGTTCAAGTAGAAAAGGTACTTGCCATGAGGGCCATCTCAAGTCGTTGTATGGCTTTGGAGTCCCTGAAGCTTCGAAACAAATCACAGACATGATGCCAAGTACGTTCAAGTTACAGCGATGGACTTCCTTGCAGTGGAGCTTCCGGTGCGGCCGCTTGCGGTAGCTTAGCCCACAAAGAGTTTTGAACGACGAGCGCGCGCACGTGCTTGTCGACCGACTTGCTGTGCGAGTATTCTGCGCATTCCGGTCTTTGAGTTCGGTACACATCTCAGAAAGTGGCCAGCAGTCCACAAGACTGATTTCAAGCTTACATAGGCAAATATGCCCTTTGGCCAGGGTGCCGTTACCCACAAGTTGGTAATGCCCCAGAGCCATATCCGTTCAAGTGCGGAGAACTTACACATAGATCCGCGCAAGTGCAGTGTGGGCCGAGGCTGACAAGCAGAGATGGGCCCTGTCACCTGTCCGATGTACACGTCGGCCACGTCGGCATCATGTTAGCAGAACTGATGCCTCATGGGCATTTGCGTGTTCGCATCTTTGCTCTTCCAGCTTTCGGGTTTAAGAGCACGGGCCGAGCATGGCCCAGCGATGCTTCATGGGCCATCAGCCACGGTTTGGCGGGCATAACGGCTTCACTCGCCCATGACCAGAGCTAACGTGCAGCTAGTCTCAACTGTTAGAGGGCTGTCTTCAGCTTTCCACAGTGAGATCGTCTGCTGCTTCTTATGCAGTCCCCAGCTGAGGCCAGATTGGATAGTGCGTCACGTGGAGGATGGTTTGATGTAGATTCCATGTAGATGCTCTGAAGTCCTGCGTCGTCAGCTCAGCAGTGTCACAAGTGTTAGCTGCGTGTGCAGATGCTGGCAGGAGCAGCTTGGCGTCGTCCAGCACTTCTTCGCTGCCTGGCTCGACTCAGCGGAGCAAGGCGCGCAGCGACGGAGAGCGCCTCCCCGACTTCAGTCTTGACTCTCTAGAAGAAGATTCGATAAATGATCATTATGAAGCATGAACTACTCTTTGCGCAACCAGAAAGCAATGGGATCACTTAGAAAAGGCCTCACAGAGCCCTGTCTCCCCCAGCCGATGCGAGGCAAGCTCTCCATTGGCTTGGCGCTGCTCGGGACTTGCCTCACCCTCCGCGGTCGCCTGGCCCTTTTCCTCCGGGGTCTGTTACATGTATATATAAAAACACGTATATAAGAATAGAAACTCAGAGTATGCTATCTTCTAGGCCTCCCGTGCTCAGAGAGGGCGGACAAGAGTTGAGAGAATTGCTCAGCGTTTTTGCCTCAGGCTTCGTCTTGGTGAAGCCCACCTTTGTTGTGTCGCTGTCGCTGGCCTTGGCGGTGCACGTTCAGGAGGCAACGGCTGCCAAGTGTCAGATGTTCAGAATGAGATCCATATTTTGTGACTCTTGCTTCTGCAGAGGTGGCTGCCACACAGCAGAGCGGCACAGCTGGGGGCATCTGTGCAGTGCTCGTCGCGGCAGCTCCGCTGAAAGGAGTCACTCGTGACCCTTGGGGAAGTGACTGGGAGCTGGCAACAAACTTGACACCAAGTTGGGTCATCAGATGTCAGAACCCGCTGTCCCAAGGCATGCTCTTGTGTGCTGGCACATCGCCTCTATCCAGTGGCGCTCTTCCTCGTAGGTGCCAGTGCTGGAGGCGCCGCAAACCGCAAGGGCTGACGGCATGCGCAAGCACCTGGTCGTTTTGCGCAGGCCTGGGCACTATTCTTCTGTGCCAATCCCTGAACCTCGAGCACGCCAGCAAGGAGCTGTTGGCGATAAGCATTCTTGTCGCAGTTGCCTGCCTTCTTTTGAAAGAGACTGTGTGAATGTGCAACAACCTTGGTGCAGCACCGCCAGTCGTGGGCAGCGTCTCACAGCAAACGTTGGGCAGCACTTGAGGTTCCTGGCGGCCTTCTGCTGAAGGAGTTCCGCCTGACAGGACGGCTGCACGAAGCTTCGTGCGCGTGAGAACTTGAAGACTGCATGACTGCATTCGGACGAATGTGGAAGGATGGCGCTTCCTGACCCCTGCGGCCGGTGCATATTTGCTGGCCACCAGCTGCCAGTACTGGGAAGGCAAAAGGGCCATTCAGAAGGTACAGAAGGTACAAGAGTCAAGAAGTGAACGTAAGCTGGATAGGCAGCCGGGCAACCTGGAGCGCTGCTAGCAGTCCGTCCTTGCTCTTCATCACGATCTGGGGCTTGGACCTCAATGTTTGACGTTCGTAGAACCTTGTCAGGATGAAACCAATGAAGCTAAACCACCTTTCGAGCTGCAGCTGAGGCCTTGCAACTTTGCTCGGAGTCCCCGCCGCATTATGGCTGCTGTAACACCGTAGCCAATCCGGTTCGTTGAGCCGCAGCCAGAAGCTGCAGTAAGGTTGGTACTGCCAGCTCATTGGCCCTGCGTTTGGTGAAGATCCTTGCAGCCTTCCTGCTGCCAAGCTGAGATGACTGGGCAGACGTTTCGTCCTGATGTTCGTTCTAGGGCACTGATTCGTGCGGATGCACGTGCGCAACATGCTGGGGTGCGAGGAGGATGAGCAAGTGCTTGGCATTGACCAAGGCACCTGTTTCATGCAGTCTTCTGCGCTTTCATGACAAGTTCCCGTTCCTGCTGGACGATGAAGGCCCATGAATGGTCATCAGACCGGACAAAGCCGTGTGCAACCGTCAGTTGTGCAGGTCCTTTGCTGGCACGACCGTCTGCAGATTCAAGGGCCTTCCTGTCAGAGCCGTTCCTGAGAGGTGCCGCGCTTTCACTTCGAGTGCTGACTCCTCTTTCTTCCAGTCTGTCAATGGGTTGCCTAAAGGTGCAAGGGGTGCTGAGCCGGATGCTGCCGCATGGCCTGGTTTTCGAAGAGCCGCTTGGAATCAACTGGGGTGAGCGCTTCTCGTATCCAAGTGAGTCCACATGCCCTGACGTGGGAGGGCTGGTCTCGTGCACCGAAGCTATTGGTTGGCTTCAGCGTGGTGATCGTGCTGCTGCTCAACAGCTTCTTGATCAGTGGACCCCATGCAATCAGCATGCTGCACGTGAACGGCGAATGTTTCAGCACAGTTCAGAGCGTGCGAAGACAGCCGCTGAGAGCCGAGGTCAGCCGCTACTCGTGCTGGGCCATGCGGTTCTGATGTCCTTGGCCTTCCTCCCGCTGACTACAGCAGGTACGTTCCATACATGCCATCGCCTGCGTGTGCGATCCCTGTCGGAAGCCAGGTCTCCTGAGCTACAAATCAGAGAGCTGCTTCCGAAGTCGCAGCGGCGTCATGGAGTCTCTCCTGCGGCACGCCGCGCATGCAACCTTGGGTGCAACGTCTGCAGCCATTGAGTGCCATGTGCGGTTAATGGGATGCCGTTGCAGTGCATGTGTTTGTGCAGGCTCGTACAGTGATGTCGGGCTTTGCAATATGTAATTGTATTGTTAGAATATTAGAAGTAATAGTAGCAAACATGCAGCAAAAGATGGTTAGATGACTAGTAGTCGTAATTGTAACTGCGACTATAAGAATCATTGGATTCAAGGCATGCTTGTGCTCTTGTGCGCCCTGCTCGGGTGCCTGTGCCTTGGCTCCACTTATTCCCTGCTCTCCCCATGCCCGTTATCAAGCTTTCGGAACTTAGGCGCGTGAAGCACGTGACATGCATGGCATAATCTGGATCTGAGGTCAATGTACTGGAAGAAGCTTTTGAGTTCAGAACATGGATCATCGCCTACATGGAGTGGTGGACTGCATGTGGCCAGGCTGCAGTATGTCAGTGCAGTTTGGGCAGGAGCATCCGCCTAGTGAGTTCACTTACCTGCCCCAATGCAAACTGCAAGCTTGTTTATCAAAACCTTCGACCATGCCTCTGCATTTCTGAAGGGGCTCTTGCAATCTGATGGCGTGTTCATTGACAGGCTCTCGTCGGCTACGCCACCCTTTTGCTGCTGTTGATTTGCAGCTGCTCTGGCGCTGCCAAACTTCTTGCTGCTCAGAAAGGCTTGGGGGGGCAGGGGCCCATTCTGGCATGATAGGCCAGTGATACTTGGAGAGCACATGCGGGTACAAGGCTCGAGCCTATGATCTTGACAAGATGCGGTCAGCACATACTCGTTAGAGAGGAGACAGGCAACAAGACGTGGCACCTTACCATGCGCTGCTGGGCAAGCTCATCTACACATTGGCTGTTTTCAACCAGGCACCAGTTGCCAGTCTTGACCATGTCATCCGGCATCCATTTCATGATTGCTGATTGCTGGTCCCGAGGTGCAAGGCTTCTTCTTGCCAGGTTTGCTTCCGCTCGGGATGGCATTGCTTCTGACCGTGCTGGTCATGACGTTTGTGTGCTCCAGCTTGTCATTTAAGACTTCCAGCACTCAGCTCATAACAGAGCTGGTAGCTTCGTTGGGTGCTCAGGATGGCTCTGCTTGCTTTCTTGTGTTGTCCCTCTTCGCCGCTTGCCTGCATTGCCGAAGCCCCGTTTTTTACAAGCATGCAAGCATGTAGCAGAGCAGAGTCAACGCGATTTGTGTCCCCAAACTCCCTTTACTTAGCCACAACATACGCCACAGCCTTTCGTGTGTCCAGACCGCGCTGGAAGCAGCTGATTTTCCTGCCTACCTTCATCACCTTTTGCTATGTCAGGATTTCGCTAGCCTCTCTTGCCATTCCCGCCTCTGCGCCAGTCTCTTCTGGGGTATAAACCAGTGAAGCCTACTCATGCAGCGATCTTCCCTAGTTTCGACCTCCAGCGGCTCAATCGGGTTGGGTGCTGTGCGGCTGCAAGACTACGCAAGCGCATGTCATGAAGCTTGCGTTTGAATCCGCGGCTCTGTTGTGCAATCTAACGCAGAGCTGCGGATTCGCCCACGAGCTTAGGAGTTCGGTTCCAGCAGCTCCCTTCGAAAAGGCAGCTCCTGCCGAGGTGGGCTGCTGTTGGTCAGGGAAGCATCTGAAACGGACGGAGGGAACGCCCGGCTCGGCCCGGCTAGGGTAAGCACGCCTGAGCTGCTAAACATGGATGTGGTCGGCTGTCAGGATGGGGTTCGACATGTGCAGCTGCTGGGTCGACTGGGGGATGCGGTTGCTCGGGCTGTGCCTTCTGGCCGCCTGGACAGCACAGCAGACGGGTCTGCAGATTCAAAAGCAAGAATAACACACGGCTCCGCTGCAATGCAAAGGTCGACGACGCAAGAGGGCTCGACAGGCTGGAGGCTTAAAAGCCGATTCACTTCCGGACTTCCGGGGCTTTCAGCTGTTAGAGCTAGGTGTCAGTGGTCTGTCTGGGCTGGGGGAGACAAGGAATGGGATGCTGTGGTTGAGGCCTTTGAGACGCAGGACGCAGGGACATGGCATGGGCGGCATGGGGAATGTTGACTTCGAAACTTCGGAGCTGGTTTTACTATGTGTTACTGGGGCTCGCGCCGCTGCTGAGGATGCAGCCAACATGGTGTCGCTGTGCTTCCTTCGTTGGCACCGCTTCGCGCAGTCGGCGCACATAGCAAAAGCTCATGCTGAGCTGCAGAGCAGCGACAACCTGGTGCACTTCTTATCCTCAACTTTGCTGGGCGAGATGAGGCCTGGTCTCGATCATCCAGTGAAGACCTCTGAATAGTAGACCGGGGGGACATGGATGATTTTCGGGCACCGAGCTGATTGTGGATATCTGCATGTCAACAAGCAACACCAGCGCAGGCAGTCGTAAGATGCTGAAGCACATGTTCTGCTCAGCCTGGCAAGCAATATGTAGTGACCAATGTAGCGAAACTCGACGCAGTGCACTGCCTCAGCGCCACTTAGCCAGACCCGGGAGCGTGTGCGCAAGAGCCATTTGACATGGTGCCCCGCTACCCGGGCCATGCTGCCCGGCAGACCCTCGGTGCGCGACCATGGCGAGAAGGAGCTGATGGCGCCTCGGCTCAGCTCAATCACTTTGCGTCGCTGCAGCCTTTAGTTTGAGGCGACCGGCGAGCGGCTAAGGTGGAGGAATCTGTGGACAGCCTGGGCTTTGGCTTCGTCGACTTGCCTCCCACGCACCTGCCTCTGCAATGGGCTTTCGTTACTTTCGTTCATGTCGTTTATTGGGGAAGGAAGAGAAGGTGAGAGCTCAGCAAATAAGAGACCCGACCCCTCGAACTCAGCAGGTCCCTAGACTTATCCAAGAAGCAGGGAGAATCAGAGTACAAGCTCAACCCAAGCCACGCGACAGGTTTCGTTCATTCCAGTGAACATGTTTCTGCTGCCATGCATCCTTCTCTTCACAGAAGTTTTTGGGATTCGGATGGGGATGCTCGCTTTGTTACCACAAAGTGGTCCTGCCACGCACGCTTTTCTGATGTCCCTCAAACTTCACGGGCAACGCCACAGGCGAACGCAAGGTCCCTGGCAAGCTCGAAGTTCAGCGCGCTCTCCATTTCGCGGGGGGAAGGGCGTGGGTGGGTGGGCGGGTGGGTGGCGGGTGAGGCGGGGATGCAAACGTCCAAGGAGGGGTTGTGTTACGTCCCACAACCACGAAACGCAAAAACCGCACTGCTTTGCCACGTTTGTGCCCTGAAAAGACGGTGCTCTGCGGAAGAATTAAAGAAGAAGACCAACCGAGCGAAAGACAACTGAAAGACAGAGAGCTCGCGAGCAAGGGAAGTGCATGGTTAGGAAGTACGCCCCGGTGGTGATCAAGACGGTGAAGAAGGCGCGGTTACGACGCAGTTGCGGCAGTTGCGGGTGAAGATGTGGGAAGTCCATCCCCCCCCTCCACAGGACTCCTGGGCAGCAGACGCTGGCATCTTGGCAGGCAGCGAGCTCCTCGAGCTGAATGGCCAGGAAGCGCGCCTCGCTCTTGAGATTTCATGATGATTATTATTACTATTGTTATTATTACTCTTATTCTTATTATCATTTACGATTTATCATTATCATTATTGTGCAGAGGGATCTCTCTTGAGCATCTGAGTAATCAGTACTCTGCCCCCATACCCGGGCTAAGCTCAAACGCACTCTCAACACCCACGAGCATGCTCTCTTGCCCAGCATGTTGCCCGAATCCGGGAAGCATGGGCTAAGTTACGAAGTCGGCTAAGTAGGCTCAGATCAAAATGTTGCTCTTCTCGAGTCCGCTTGGCGGGCAGATTCAACGTGCTAGAGTCTTCGAATGCTGGGGTTCTGCAGTGCCGCGATGTGAGGGGCCGTATGTCTGCCGATGACTTCCGAGCCACGCTAAAGCAGCGCCCGCTCCGGGTAAGACTGGCGCCGCCGATGGCTGAAGCTTGGAACCCTGGCTAAACGCAACATCGAGAGCAGGGGAAGTTTGCAGTTCGCAGTTCAGCCTGCGGAACATCGCATGCGGTAGGTATTCGAGCATGCACAGATGGAATGAAAGAGTGATCAGGAAGCAGGTGGCAAACTTCCAGCAGCAGATGCTTGGTTGAGCATTTTCCCCCTCAAGCCAAGCGTACACACACAAAAACCCACGATGCCAGCTCGTCGAATTCTTTGAATGCTGCATTGTAGGCACGTCTCGCGCAGGGGGGACTGGCAACTGAGGGTGGTGGCGTTGAGTCTCCACAAGGTGCCTGGGTCGATCAGTACGGGGTCTGTGGACTTCGGGATGTGCGGTGAGTGCGCACACCAGGTCCACCTGCAGCAAGCCTTGAAGGATGAGAGTGACCGCGTAAAGAAGGAACTCGCCGCTTGGCTCGAAGCTTTGTCCCCACGTCATGCCTGCATCGGTTGCTGAGTGCTTCAAGCTGCACTTGCCCAGGGCATTTGCACTGCCACGGAGAAGTCAAACAGCCTTCAGCACAAGGACGCTGCGATAGAGAAGGGACGAGCATGGTAGACGCATGTCCACGCCAGGCACAGCGCATCAAGGACATGGCCCAGAGGGACCAGGAGCGCCAAACGATGGAGGAGCGCTTGGCAGCTCTGCAGGCCAGTTTTTTTACGTGAAATACGATCTGGACACTGGACCCACATGATCCTTCTCAGGCTGAGCTGGACATGAGAAACGGGGAGCTCGAGGCATTGCGACGCCTCGATGCCAAACAAGCCGGAGAGACTTGGCAGATAATCCTGGCGGTGCTGGCACGATACCCCCCCCCTTTGTTCAGCTGACCTACGATATGGTTAATCAGATTGATACATTCTCAATGAATGTCTCAATAATGTTCTTTCATTTTGTCTGTTCTTGTACTCCTGTAGTCCTTTCCTGCATCAAAACAGTGCCGAGCCATGCCGAGCCTCCCCTGGCACACTTCAGGTCCAGAGCGAGGCGTCTTCGGGCCCTCTGGCGGAGGAAGCGCCCTGTGGCCCCACAATCCTCGCTGTCACGGTAAAACCCAAGTGTTCTGGAACGTAAGATGGCAGTGCGGCACAGGCTGCTGACTCGAAAGCAGGGGACGAGGCAAACTTGTCCAGGCGGAAAAGCTCTTATGAGATCTTTGTGCGCTCACATGCCTGTCTCGTCTCTTTGGGAAACAGGCGCCTTGCTGATCTCGAGCGTGAGAACGCCCAACTGCAAGAGACGAAGGCCTCGCCAAAGCAAGTGGGCACTTCTGTTCACTTTCCCTTGACTCAGCTTTGGTGATTTTCGCAAGGCCGCTCTCGATGCCGATCACGAGGCCTTGAAACAGGAGAAGCTTCGAATTGCCAACGAGAGGTCCGACTTAGAGGTGCCAACTTTCGTCTCATGTCTCATCTCTGCCATATCCTATTTCATCTCGTCTCATCTCTTCACCAACCACGGCACTCTTGGCGCCGCCACTTCTCGAGCATCAGGACACATCCATACACATCGTCTTGCTTCTGAGGCGCTTCGGGCCCAGCTGGAGGCGAAAGCAAGTGCCCAAGACCAACGCGAGGCCGCGCTTGGACACGGAAGCCAGGTAGCGTGCAATAGCTTGCACCTGGCTTTGCACATGCTTACCCTGGCCGGGCCCTGCTAGCCTGACAGGCCGAGCTGGAAAGAAAAGAGGCATCTGTGCGTGAGGCACGCGGCACGCCCGTGCAAATCCTTTTCCCATGCCAGTCATTGTGAACATTTGTGCACCTCCATGAGAGGAGCTTGAACGGCTGGAGTCTCTGGCGGTTCTTGAGGTGGTGACCCAGCCTGCATTCAGGATTCAGGGCACCAGCCAGAGCCAGAAGAACAGCCCGGAGAACAGTCCATAGTCCACCCCACTCCGCCAGGTTGAGGAGGAGCTCTCCAAAGCACGTGCCTGGGGTCAATGAAGGGACAATGGCTTGCCAAAAATTGAAAGATTGGTCCCGGTCTCGAAGTGCAACGTTGCCCAGGTGCCTCGCTCCTGTCGGCGCAGCCTTCGCTGCGCCAGCTGCTAGAAGCAGAGGTCGGTCGCGCGAAGCGAAGTTGTAGAGTCTTGTCCACGGGTGAGACTTTTGCAGGTAGAGGACGAGACACAGTCCGCAAGCTCATCGAGCCCCCGTAGCCCACGACGACCTTCTTCAAGCCCTTCACGATCATCACAAAGACTTTCACAGACTTCGACGAGGATGTCGCTTGCTAGGCAGTCGCTCACAGCGGCAAGACTGTCGCAGCTCAGAGCTGCCGCGCCGCACCTTGGTAAGTCAGTGTGAGCATCTGTACACAGACAGTCTTGTCATGTCTTGGTGTCTTACGTACGTGCCGTTTGGAAAACGCATCGTGGCAACGGGCTACAAGACGTCTGAGGCCTGTGCAGGAGACCGCTGATGAAGATTCCGACGAAATGTTCTGACAGCCGCAATTTGCTGTGTCAAACAGACGGCGCTGCCGCTGCTGTGAGAATTTGTCAGCAGTTTGGTGTGTGTGAGTTTGGCTTCCCCACTCAAAGTCAGTGGGGCGTGCCTGAAATTGGCATTCGGCCAAGCTACATGGCGATTATGTCAGACTTCTTAGCGCGATCATCCTCGGCTGCCGGCAGACCGCGGCAGACGGTAGGTAGCAAGCCGCTGCTTCGTCTGTGGAAAGGAAAGGGCAGCAGCTCACAGACTCCATGAGCAAAAATCAGGTTGGCCAGGTTGTCACAGGTTGGCGAGGTTGTCGCAAGTTGTCACAGGTTGTCTCACATGTTGATACACGTTGTCACAGGTTGTCACAAGGATGAGGCGGCTTGACTGTGCCCTGCAAGGTGGCGAGAGAACAACTTGAGCCAGAACCGATGCCTAACACCGCACGGGCGCTTGCATCAAAGTGAGGCCGCGGCTCAGGGAAAGGAGCTGCCATCCTCCAATGCAGAACCTGTGCACGAAGCCGACGCCTAACACCAAGGCTCGGAATTCAAACAAGAGAAGAAAGGAGTGTGGCATGCATTGTCGGCTGCAGTCCGGCATCGTGGGCCTGAAAATAGGGCCTGCAGAGCATGCTTGTAACCCTCAATGTGCCTTTAATTCTGATCAAATTTATCAGCTTGGGCTCGGGCCAAGAGTGCCACCAGCCCAGGCGAGGGTTTCCGTGGAGCTTCAGAGCTCCTTGTGAGTGCGGCGCCGCGCTCTACACGTCAGCAAAAGTGCCCATGGGATAGAAATTTTGAAGAGCGCAGCTGGTGCCAACTCAGTCCGCTAATCATCGGCTAATCGCAAACTGAGTATGCTTCCATACGCCTTGCGGGCTGAGACAGCATACTTTGCACACTGTAATAACACCGTCATCCCGCCGCATCCCGCCGGCACTTTGCTTCCAGTTGCAGTTCGGTCGAGTACAGCTGTTTGTGACTGGAGCATTTAGGCGCTCCTGCTTGAGCCATGAACCGGTTTTTGGCCGTTGGGGCAGTCGCCGTACTCACACTCTTTGCTGTGCCTTGGGGCTTTGTCATGCCTGCAGCGAGTCGGAGCCGCCACATCAGACCAAAGGGTTACCAAGCAACGACCACCAGTAGCTCCTGCAACGCTGCTGACACCCATGCCGCCATCACGAGGGTCCTCACAGGCTTAGCAGTGGGCCTCCTTCTCGGAGCCAGCAGTGTGTCAGCGACTCCATCGGCCGAGTCGAACGAGGCATCGCGACCAGACTGTACCAGCCGTCCTCAAGCACCAAGCGCTTTGCAGGAGTTTGTGAAGGCCAGTTCAGTACGCAGAAGCGAGAGACGCCTCAAGGCAATTCAGAAACAGCTCAAAGAACATGGCCGGCTGGCCATAGATAGGCTTTGCCTCGAGGAAGGCAGAAGCATGTAGAAGACAGGTGGGAGATGCTCGAAGAACCGCTGAAGCTTGTCTTCAGAGAGCCCTGAGTGAGAGCTAAGCCACGATCTTCACGATCCGCTTAGATTCCTTTCCGGTGCGCCATGTACAGGGAGGTATTTGTACAATTTCCTAGAAAATACCTCGGGAGCACAGTCCGGCAACAGTGAAGTCGGAACTTGGACTCAAAGGATCTCAGAGAGGAGCAGAGAAAGGGAGAGTTGAGACAAGGCAGATCCTCTGGGCCGGGCAATGTTAGGAATGGAGGCGCTGGGCGGATGAAGGGTTAGTCGATCCTCAGCAGAAAAAAGGACTGGGAGTCTGGCACCGGAAATTTGTTGTAGTGGTTTCTCACTGTAGTCACTATGGCATGATGGCCCTCATTCACAGATGTTGCGTTGGCTGGTTTCTGAAGGAAAGCTGATACTCTGCTCATCTGCAGTCTGGCTGAATTAGGCAGCTGCTAGGCTGCTACTGGGCCATGGCTCGACGAAGCCGGCGATTGTGGCTGGGCGCGCTTGCAGCAGCTTTGTCGCTGAAGTGTGCCATGCACGACGAGGCCGTCAACCAGGCTGAGGCCATGGTTTTCCGGCCTTGGCGTCCTCGAGCCAGCGACTTGCCAGACAGCACAACTCTGCCAGCAGTAACCACGACCCTTCTTGTCGGAGTACTTATCGGGGTGGGCGCCTTCCAGGACTACCCGGCCATGCCGCAACTCTTTGAGTCTGTGAAGGACGAAACCTGGACAAAGCCCGCGGGCTCTCGGCAGAACCGACTCCCTGAACGATGCGCACGATACAGATCTATCTCCCTTGATGCTGACCGGCGCCCTCGGGATCGATGCGATGCACATCGGTCCAGGAGCTGCCGGCATTCGATTCCATGACCGGCACCGCAGGAGCGCGTTGCTCGAGCCTGTCAAACATGGCAGGCTGGCGATCACCGGCGCTCGGGCGTCTGCGGATGTCTGGGGTTCGGTCCACTGAACTCGCACTGGGCATGTTCCAGCTGCGAAAGCGAGTGGCTGGCACTGAGTGACCGAAATGTACCTTAGCAGGACAGTAGAAAGATAGCGTGTGAACCATGTGCATCATGTGAGCACTGAACACACATTCAGAGTCCACCAATTAATTCGGCAGGCTTACGAGGAGTTGGATGTTTGTCCCTCGCCCGTTTGTGGGCCCAGAGACGATGCCAGCTTGGGCTTAGCGCAGTTTTCGGAACAAGTCCGCCTCCTCTTTAAGAGCCTGACACAACTTTTAATCGTCTTGCTGGCCACCTTCAGCTCGCAGACTTGCATTAAAAACGGTGAACGCTGTGTTCAGAGCTGGTGGCCTGGTGAATCCTGGGGAGTATCCTGGCGAAAAGTGCCCCGGCAGGTCGGACGGAGCTTCGCACAGAAGCTTCCCGGCCGTCACCTGAAACTCTGGCGATGACTTCACACGATCAACAGTGTAAGTCTGTAAGTGCGAGGCATCTCGGCGAAGTCCAGGTAGATCGAGCCTGAAGCGGTGGCCTGAGAGCCACCAATGCCAATGCGACTATTCTTTTTTGGGATCCTTTGACTTCCTTCGGCATTTTTCATCATCTTTCTGGCAGTTGATAAAATTTTCCTGATCCCAGAAACGCTGAGGCTTCGGTACGACGATGTGCAGGCAAAAGTCGACACCGGACTAAAGCGCTCCAGGCAGCTTCATTTCAATCGTGGGATATGTCGAGTAGGCATTAGCGACTGTTTGCCAACGATGTTTTGTGTCACGCCAAGGAATGGTCTGAAGGTAGCAGATTCTGACACGAAACCCAAGCATTCGCCGGAGAGTAGCTAAATTGGACAAAGATGGCAAAGCTTGGTTTCGCCGGGCATTTGGTGGACTGCAGCAAAGCAGTGCTCGTGTAGCGCAAAGTGCTTGAGAAGGTCGTCGCCGCGTGAGGGGCTTAGCAACTCTCGTGCCAGAGCCATGCACACCACTAGGTTGCTGCTTGGCCGCAGGAGGGAATGCTGTGGCTCTCGAAAAAACGTGCCAGGTTCAGGCTCGCCGAACAGGCCCGCATCTGCAAAGAGGTTGGGCCACTTAGTAGCTGAAAGAATCCCCCTTGAGCCCTCGCAGCCGGTAAGCTTTCAGGTCCTCCTCACCCAGCTCTCCACGTGTGAGTCGCTTGATTCCTCCTCCAGTGCCTTGGCTTAGCACTTCCCACCATTTCATGATCAACCTTGCAGTCCTTGTGCTCAGCGCCGGTACAGGGCCCACGACTCACCCCTCGAGACCACGAACGAAGTTCCAGTGGAGGCTGGTCACGTGCACATTCTCCATGGAGTCTCCTGAGGGACTGCGCGGAGAAATTAATGCCAGGCTCACCACGGGACTCACCCAGGAGGCGATGTGTTGTTTGCGGCGGTGCGCTCTCAAAGCAGAGATGTGGCTGACTCACGTGGCTGAATAAGACACCAACAAGTAGCAAGGCACTAAATAAGCGAGACCATGCTTGCCTTCCTCCGTTGAAAGGCGTGGTTTGAGCGTCGGTGAGATCTTGGAATCAAGCAGGCCTTGTGATAGGCTTCAGGTATAGTAGTGGTATAAGAAGCAACCTCGTGTTCGGAGACTCTTCCCCATGCTGCTGTTGTCAAGTTGGCTTGTGCGGCAGCGATGTCGTCGTTCTTGAGCACAGGATGAACTCCATGTCCATGGCATCGATAAGCCTCGTTCCTGGTAGCTGTGTCCGTTCTTGGAAAGGGCTGATGAGTTGAGTCTGCTAGAAAAGTGGTCCAAGCTGAAGCTGCTCAGGTTCCTTGCGGTCGACGGTTTCCGAGCAGGACATATGCTTTGCAAAGGTGGTTAGACATGGCTATGCTTGTGCCCACATGTGCCCACCACAGATTCGCCAGGAGCTGCTGACATCCAGCCGGTTAATGTCAAGAACCTCGCAGGCTCTCCATCTCCACGGCAAGCTCCCACAAGCTGCCACAAGCTGCCACCAGTTATACAGCCATACAGGTCACAAGCAAGCCACAGAGAACGTTTGCAAGCGGCAGATGTCCCCGCACTTGGAAGGCCACTGGCGCTGTCCCGGCCCCCTACTTCACAGGATGAGATTTGCCAAGCCTGGCAAACTCGGGCCGTCGGAGACGTTACAATGTGGGATAATGTGGGCCCAAAGCGGCACATGAGCACTTATTATATCTGAAGCCACTTTGAGAGTGGTGAGAATTCAAAGTTTGTTGTTTCCAATGAAGAAGCAAGTGTACCATGCATGGGCCGCCATGCGCTCGGTGTGATGGTTGATGTAAACGAGAGAGGAGAGAGACAGAGAGAGAGAGAGAGAGAGAGAGAGATGTCTGCCCACATAATCCCTTTTGGACTCCCCCCCCTCACATGTAGAATCACCCTGGAAACACCCCCTTTTCAGACAGAAACCGCGGCCTGGCACGGCTGCGAAAACCGCAGCCCCGAATCGCATGACACTTGGGACTTGCGCGCCCCTCGGGGCAGCTCTCCCTTCGGGGGGGGCTAAGCGTGCAGAGAGAGAGAGAGAGAGAGAGGAGAACAGAGGGGGGCATTCTAATACAGAAGTAACCCACTTTTTTTTTTTTTTTTTACCTTTTGAGTGGATCACTGGAGCACGCCTTTTAGGGCGGCCCCCTGGTGAGGTTATGTGCTGTGGAAGGAAGAAAGAGAGAGAGAGAGAGAGAGAGAGAGAGAGAGAGAGCGAGAGCGAGAGCGAGAGCGAGAGCGAGAGCGAGAGCGAGAGCGAGAGCGAGAGAGAGCCCCTAAGCAAAGCAAAGCAAAGAGAGAGCGAGAGCGAGAGCGAGAGAAAAGCGGGAAAGAGAGCGCGAGAGAAGCGCAAGCGGGAGCGGCTTCGACCGGCCCCCCTCACCTGGGGGCAGCTGGAAGGAGGGAGGGAGGGGGAGCTGGAATAAGGATGCTTGGCCAAGGAAAGCCATCACAACGAGGAGGAAAATGTCTAAGTTGTCATGCGGTTCTTCTGCTCGTTTTTCGCAGCCTCCGGTAGTAAGTGTCACGCAGACCTACGTACGACAGCACGGGCACACACAGCTTGCGAGGGTGTTGCACCACTCAAGCCCACCACAAGAAGAAGACGAAGAAGACGAAAAAGACAAAGAAGAAGAAGAAGAAGAAGAAGAAGAAGAAGAAGAAGAAGAAGAAGAAGAAGGAAAAGGAGAAGGATAAGGAGAAACCCCTTCTGGGCAGCCACCTCGGGGCTATTGTTGCTGTAAGGAAGGAAGGCAGGAAGGAAGGCAGGAAGGCAGGAAGGCAGGAAGGCAGGAAGGCAGGAAGGCAGGAAGGCAGGAAGGCAGGAAGGCAGGAAGGCAGGAAGGCAGGAAGGAAAGAAGGAAGGAAGGAAGGAAGGAAGGAAGAGACGCAAAGACCCACCGATCCTCAATTCCCAAACCCGCCGAGGAGTAAAATAAGAACAGGCGCAAGAAAAGAAGCAGACACCGGCTGCGGAAAGTTTTCTAGTTGCTGTGTTTAGTGAGCTATTGCAGTTCATGCTTTGCCTCCCAACGCGAAAGTCGCAGCCCAGGGAAAACACAAATGAGTCAAAACCCCATTGTTTCGTTCTCCAGACCCAGACAAATCCTTGGACCTGGAAATGCACTTTGCAGAAGAAGGAGCATAATGAGTCAATGACCAGGGGAAGCAGCAGAAGAAGAACAAAAGGAGAGAACACATGTGCAAGAGTGAGACGGCCTTCGAACACCAAGCTAGCCTGCTTACCTTTCCCTGGTTCCCGCTAGCAAGCAAGTAGCGAGCGTGGCCATGTCTTCTATATTGGACGTGCTAGCGCAGCCACTGCCGCTTCCTGCGGTTTGCAGATGAATGTGGGCTTGCGGTGATTGATGCGAAGCACGCAACTGAATGTTTTAAAGCTTATAGCAGCTTAGCACTACCAGGCACGGCCTGCAACTTCCACATGCCTATAGTGTGAAGCATATAAATAGAGCCTGGCGAGAACTTGCGGTCACCGGACATTTCAGGTCGGGTGACTGTTTGGCCTTGAAGGTTGCATGGCCACCCGGATGGCATAATGCCTTCCAGCCACGGTTCCGCGATGAAAAACAAAAGTGTATCAAGTGTTCAGATGGCGATTTCACTCCTTCTTGGCAGCCGGACGGACCTTTGTGGGCATGATCGTCAGTATGCGCTGACCGTGCCGACATTCTGTGGCTTCAGTTGCGGTGGCACATGCCCCTCTCTCCCGTGGTGCTCCGGCCAAAGCGGAGCTCCTTCCCCGGTCTGCAAGCAGTGTTTCACAGTGGTACGTCATGGTACCTTGGATGGAGCAGTTTGCATGGCAATGCCTCGAGATAAGGTCACCATGGCGAAGCGGCACTTGGCAGGAATGGTGCGGTCGAGCCCGAATGTCGTAAAGTTCGACTCCGAGCCTGAGGAGTTGAAAACTCAGCTGATTGCCCCAAGGATGTGCTCTTCGTGGACACCTGTGCAAAAGAGTTTCTTATCACGCTGTCGTAAGGTCTGGGCGCCCAAACTCCTCACCATCCACAGTGTCAAGGCCGCCCCGCGCGCAGTCCAGCAACGCAGGGGGGCCCAGACTCTTCCGGGACTTCCGGGTGATGGGGAAGATGAGTTCATGAAGCTCATGACCACATATGACCACCTTCGCCTCCCCCCAGGCCTGGCACGATGTGATGGAAATGTGCCGGAAAGGTTTCACGACGAAAATGAACAGTCCCTTGGCATGCCATTCGGATGTTTTCCTCAGAGCGGTGTGGAGGTGCCATTTCTTGAGAGCCATCACCAGCATGCTTTGAAGCAAGCTCAGCAGCCGAGTCTTGCAGGTGTGGGCAACGAGATCTTGCAAGATGTGCGGTGCTGAGAACTCTGCATGGCACCCCAAAGAAGCGCATGTCGGAAATCTCCGGCTCTGTTTGCATCCTTTCGCATCCGTTTGCCAGGTGCGCAGCGAAGTCCAGCGTGCCGTCGCGCAGTTGAAGTACGAGATCTCCACCATGTTGGAGGCATCGCAAGTGAACCACAAGCTAATGAACAATGACAATTCCGACAAGCATTGCACGGCATGTTAGGAATTGGAGCTAACCTAACCGCACTGCAGCTGTGCAGGTCAGAGAAAAGACATCCAGCAACAAAATGGAGTGGCTGGCTGGCGGTTTAATTGAACTTCATGATGGCCGTAGCAAGCATAGACCGTGAGATATTTGCTAGAGATGAGGTCCATGATGGTCAACATAGAGAAGCTGCAGAAGCCGTGGACTCAGCTGGGGACCTTGTTTAGGCTGGGGGTGATGATAACACCCGGCATTGGGGTTTTCGATTTTTAGGTCTGTTCGTTCGGCAGGGAGCTTGAGGTTTGATTTCGGGGCTTTGCGCTACCACTCGGTGCTGTTGCTGAAGTTATTGTCACTGAGCCGGGAATTCCGTGGAAGGCAGCAGAACCAGCAGAGTTGTGTGAAGAACGGGTCTCGGGCTTGTTGGGGTTGGCCACAGGCAGGATCGTCCGGCCTTGACAAGTTGTGAAACGTGAAACCGACCACCGAGCACCTCAAACTTGAAGGTTAAGGACTGATGCCAGAGAGCCCTGGATAAGTCAAGGATCCATACAAATCCGTAGCAGAGGCATGAAGCGGGGCTTTGCGTCCGAGACTTTACCCTGAACTGCGGGCTTGGGGCTAAAATGCAGAGTCATCGCCAGGGAAGGAGTCGCTGGGTTGTAAGGACCAGGAAGGTCTATAGGCACTGCTATGTCAGGAGGTGGGCTGACCCAAGGAGCAGGGACGTTTCTGTGCGGCATGGTAAAGAAGTCTTCAGGACTACCGAAGAAGGGGTGATGAACATCCACTTCGACCTCAGTCCAGTGCTGCAGGCTAGGGCGGCTAGGGCGGCTAGGGCCCTTGAAAAGCGTTCAGTTGAAGCTTGGTGTCAGAGCCTTGGCCTCGCCAGTGCCTCGCAGGAGATGCAGAGAGTGAATGACATCCACGTCGAGGCGAACTGATGCATACCGATGCATTTGCACTGCCTTTCAGAAAGCTCACGCAGCATACACAAAGCTTCCGCAGCAACTTTCCTCTTCATGTGGGGCTTCAGGGCATGGGGAGATTCAACAATCTATGTTAGCGGCTCGAGAACATGCCCTGTGCACCAATCCGTACAACAAAGCTTTGGTGCCTAGTTGGCAGAATCAGAATCAGTATTTCTTCAGGACCGGAAGAGACTGGAAGGGCAGATGGAAAAGCTCGTGCAGCAGATGAAGGAGGCGAGGCCCAAGGTGGTAGCCTTGTCAAGTCCTATGTTTTGCCGCTTTCCTGAGGTGCAGGTCCGGGCAGACATAGAGGAGGCCGACCATGAGCTTTGCAAACGCTGCCTTGGGAGTTTTCTGAGTTTTCGGACTTCCAGGAGCGGCTCCAAAAGTTGCACGAGAAGCAAGGGGAAACCGATGCCCTGCATATTTTTGGAGCTGGTCCATGGAGTGTTGTCTCATGTTTGGGCCATGCCTTGTTTGCGCGTCGGAGGCACTGCTCTACCATCTTCACTCACAGCGACACTCCAAGCTTCATGAAATATACCTCTGTGCCAGCGCAACCCTAAACACACTTGAACCATTCAAGAAGTGGGCCCTTTTTCAAACAACCGCTTTTCTACGATTAACACCCAAATTCTCAACCATGGTGATGTCGGGGAGGGGGCCCATGCAAACACCACTTCTACAAAGTCTGCAGATGCTTCTGCACGTGAAAACCAAGGAGAGCTTGATCGCCAGCGCCCTGCCCCAAGGAGCCCGAAAAATCGCACAAATCGTTGCCCGACAAGGTCCAAAGCAGTTTCACTCAGGTCCAAAGACTGCAGGAGATGCTGGCCCTGTCCGTCGAGCAGACGACAGAGGAGGCGATGAACGAATTTTCTCCTGCTTGTGGATGACCTTCGAGCAGTTCGGGAGCCGAGGTTCAGAAGTCGGGAGTGCAGGCACACGAGGAGAGACTTCTGTGCAACTCGGAGATTTCGCCAACTTGGCGATGTGTTGAATCGTTGATCCCTGATGTGTTGCTGAAGTGGTGACGACGTCAGCAGGTTCATAATCCAAACGGCTGGTGCGAAGACAGCCATCTGACACGACTACAAACCAAAAGGATCATGCGAAGGGACACCAGCACTCGTATGGCGACAGGTATCCTTGAAAACCCTTAGTTTGCTTATAAAGGATGACCAAGATGATGCAAGAATCTCAAATGCCCTTCTCTCTGGGAGATAGGACTTCGGGCAGCTGGTCGCCTTCAACACGGAGTCGTCAAGGCTGACATGCTGACGTGAACGAACTCCAACCTCAGCGGCGCATGCTCAAAACGCTGTTCGAATGCTGTTTCCCAGGCAGCTGATGCAGCGGCTGGAGGTTCGAATGGGACGGTTTCGTGAGGTCCGGGACGTCGCGCCCGCGCTTTGATTGAGGAGCCCCTGACCATGGACATGACAGAGATGCATCGCGAGATGAAAAAGTCACAGACAGCCGGTTCCCCAAGTAGTTGGCTGCTGTTCGACTTTTCAGATAGGCTTGTTGGCTGAGGGGTTTAGAGGACTGATAATTACGCATCTTCCGGGACTGCAGGCAACGTCTGCCGACTTTCGGATGGTGCTGAGTGAGATCGGCAAGATCCAGCAAGCGTTGCACCTGGATTTCGCGTGGCGCTCATCAAGTATGGTCGCTACTCATGATATCTAGGCTCTCTGTAGGGTTGGTGGACAGCCTGCCAGATGCTTGCGAAACGTGTTGTGGCACAACATGGGACAATGTAGATCGCCGGCCGAGATTCAGATGGCAGAGTTCGTGAAGGAGGAGAAGGCGGAGAAGGCAGAGAAGGTGCATGAAAGTCGTCTTCTTGAGATTCACCATGTGCACCCATGTGCTGTGTACCGCCACTCGCTGCCACTCCAGGAGCACAAGCGCCCGAACCTGCCGCCCGCGGAAGTCACCTGCGTGGAGGCACCGCCGCCAGAGCCGAAGCTGGTTGAGGCCTGAGAGCGAGTGCTGAAGGGAAGGGACAGGGGGTTGAAGCAGACTTTCTATCTTTCTCCACATCGAGATTAACCTACTCCTAACGTGGAAGGAAGGAGGAAGGACCAAGGAAGGAAGAAAGGAAGGAAGGAAGAAGGGAAGGAGGAAGGAGGGAAGGAGGGAAGGAGGGAAGGAGGGAAGGAGGGAAGGAGGGAAGGAGGGAAGGAGGGAAGGAGGGAAGGAGGGAAGGAGGGAAGGAGGGAAGGAGGGAAGGAGGGAAGGAGGGAAGGAGGGAAGGAGGGAAGAGAGGGAAGGAGGGAAGGAGGGAAGGAGGGAAGGAGGGAAGGAGGGAAGGAGGGAAGGAGGGAAGGAGGGAAGGAGGGAAGGAGGGAAGGAGGGAAGGAGGGAAGGAGGGAAGGAGGGAAGGAGGGAAGGAGGGAAGGAGGGAAGGAGGGAAGGAGGGAAGGAGGGAAGGAGGGAAGGAGGGAAGGAGGGAAGGAGGGAAGGAGGGAAGGAGGGAAGGAGGGAAGGAGGGAAGGAAGGAAGGAAGGCAGGAAAGGAGGAAGAATGCATGCATCCTTCCACACCCCGTCATATGAACATTGTTTTGCAAATGGGGGTGCCGCCCCTCGCAATTCCCCCGTCGCTTTTGAGCCAGGCAAGCTGGCTTCTGAGAGCATCATGCCTTCGATATGCTTTCCCTTCTGCATCCCTTCCACGCTACGAGCATTGTCTTGTTGTTTTTCCCACCCTAGGTGTGGGGTTGTTAGAATTTAAACTCGACTCTTCTCCTCACCCGGTCTACTTCTCCTCGCCCCTCGCCCAACCCCAGGGTGCCCAACCTCAGAGTGTCGCTGGAGTGCCGGAGTGTGCCTGGAGTGCCCAGACTGCCCCCTGCGCCCAAACTTTCCCTGGGGTGCCCAACCCCAGACTGCCCTGGTTTGCCCAACCCCAGAGTGCCTGGAGTGCCCAACCCCAGAGTGTTTCTGGATGGAGGGTACATTTACAGAGTGTCCCTGAAATGCCCAACTCCAGAGTGTCCCTGGAGTGTGCCAGATTAGCACCCAGAAACTTTCTTGAGCGCCCAACCCCAAAGACCTGACCTCTGGAACCCCACCTTTTAAAACGGGGACCCTCCCCCACGCATTCGGGAGAAATTGTTTCACCCCTCACCCTGGAAAGAGTTCTGAAAGCATTTCTGCACTTCACGTCTCGGTGCTTGTGCGTGCAGTGGGCCAAGTGGGCCTGGTGGGCCTGCTGTGGCTTCTCGAACGTCTCTCAGTCTTGGCCAGGACCCTCCCGGCAAGGTCGACAAGTTCGAGAAGCCACAAGCGATTCACAGTGGCGCGCAGAGCATGGCAGTGGGCCACGTGAGCGAGAAGGTGCGCTGCTCTCTACGGTCTGCTCTGAGCGAGTGGCATTGGCACATCATTAGCATTGGTGCCATGGACATCCGCATGCTGCATTCCCAAGCGCTTGCTGAGGCTAGCACAAGAGCTTCCATCAAGCACAGTTCCACCGCACCGGTGGATAAGGCTGCAGGGCTGCAGGAGCGCCGAATCATGTCGAACTTACATTGTGAGATCATCCAGCTAATCACCTTCTAACCTAATCATTATGCCCGCTACCCTGCGGCCACACCAGGATGCAGGGTAGGGCCGCAAGAGTAGCATTGGGATTGGAGGACGACACTGTGCTGAACATGTCCATGTCCAGTGATCTGGTGTACTCGAAGCGTGGGAGCTACTTGACTGGAAACCATTGAGCTGTTTCTGTAGACAAAGACAACCAGGATCATGTTGACCTGTTGTGCGATGTCTAGGTACAGGCGGCGTCAACTCTGAGAATGTGCGATCCTGAGCTTGTTTCCATGGAGTCTCGGGTGATAGAGTGCTAGTTGACGCACCTCACCAAAGTCTCTCAACACAGCAAAACAACACCTGCAGCTGCTTCGCAAGGCCTTCTCGGCCAAGAAGCACAAGCGTGTGCGGGAATTCTGGAGTCAAACGGAACCGGCGCCAATGGAGACGCTGCTCAGCGGATGTTTAAATGCAGCTGGCGCCCATCCTCCCAACGATTGTCTGTGTGCGTGTGTGCCAAAAACAGGTAGTATGTCTCACAAGGACGGCTGTCCAGACAGACCCGGTGAAGTTCCAGAACCAGCGAGGTAGAAGGAGTGTTCAGTTGTCTCTGGCCACCAGCTGCTACCAAGCAGTTTTAACAGATTTTGATCTTGGTGTCCAGGAGCGGCCACCCCAATGCAGACAAGAGCCCCATGCAGGCGAAGCCGAAGCCGAAGCCCAAACCCCAACGAGTATTTCAAGATGCAGAGGCGCGGAGGGGTCTTCGACTGGCGACTCTTGGCACAGCACAGCTTTGCCAACTTTCAGGCGATGAAGCAGAAGGCCCGCCAAGCCAGAGTCAAGCCGCGCCCCTGCTGCAAGAAGACATGTGTGAGCTCTGTGAGCTCTGCTCCAACTCTCCCCACCAATTATTCTGGCCTTTTTCCCACGGTTTCTTTTGGAGAGCACCGCGGGGATACCCTAGCGTGCTGCTCTGGGTGAGTCTCCATTGTTTTGAAGTGGTTTTCGGGAGGGCCTTGGGAAGTCGGTCCGGGCAATGTCCGGAAGCGTGGCTCGTCAAGCTACTCGGGTTTGCCGGCAGCTGTTTTTGCAAACCTGGAGCCCTCCCTACATGGGACTGCTGGCATTGTGGCCCTGCCTTTCTTGTTTCCGCCCGCTCCACAATATGGCATTCTGGCTGTTTGTTGCCGGCCACGAGGCAGTACAATGTATTCGACCGCTACCACAAGACGGCTCGCTGGCTCAGCTACGGGCGAGCTGACTGCTGCCTCACTGCCTCACTGCCTCACGTTGCGCGCTCTCTTCTGATGCTCGAGCCGAGGGCTGCGCGCAGTTCATTGCCAAGCACTGGCTGTGCCTTGGATGCAGCTGGACATGGCTGAGCCAGCCCAAGATGCGTCAGCAATGCCCGTGGTCGAGTAGCTGCCCAAGCTAAGGTTCGAATACTCAACTTTAGACACTCAGCAGCATTGTGATGGCTTCTAGGGTATGCGAGTGAAGACGACAGGCGTGGACTTTTGGTGGTATGTGCTGCCCACACAATCCAAGTTTGTGGTGTGCGTGAACACCGTTTGGATCGCCATCGACACAGACATGAACCAGTTCTCCATTATCACAAATGCGCCCATTGCGTTCCAGGCAGAAGACATAAGACCGCGTTTCATGTGTCCATGGCCAGGACTAAGAAGGGCAGACGAATGTGCGCCAGTCCATCTTGCACAGTGCTTTGACCTGTCCAGATCGCGGAGAACTTCTTCTGTGGATACTTTTTCTGCAGCGCGGCTGCAAGAGCCTGCCTGATCCTCGCGGCTTGCACGTTGTAAGCTGCAAGGTGAGCTGCTGATTCGGTTCTTTGCGTTCCAGTACAAGAGGCACGGAAATTGGATTGTTAGAGGAAAGTTGGGTATTAGTACAGGAAGCAGGATGGGTCTCAGGGTCATGCCCACGAGCATAGTACTTATTGGTTGAGTGCACGTCAACAGAATTTCTTTGCTCTCAAGGCATTGCTTGCAAGACTACTGGTTCCTTTTCGATCTCTTCCTTGCCGGGCACTCGCCACTACATGCCAGCGCCGAGATGGTAATGCTGGCCTCGGTTACTGTACTTCAGTCTGCCCGAGGTAGTCCTCATGGTTGCAGAGACCTGGATTGTACCGCTTGTGTTCAATTCGCTTGGGTTGAGGGAGGAGGACGCCGGCAGAAGAGTGTCTTTGGCTTTGGAGGGGGGGGAGGGAGGGAGGGAGGGAGAGAGAGAGAGAGAGACCGAGAGAGAGCGAAAGCGAGAGAGAGAGAGAGGGGGCTCTTAAGTGCGCAGAAGAAAAAGAAGAAGAAGAAGAAGAAGAAGAAGAAGAAGAAGAAGAAGAAGAAGAAGAAGAAGAAGAAGAAGAAGAAGAAGAAGAAGAAGAAGAGAGGGTGTCCGGCTTGGGGAGGGGGTGGTTGAGGGTTTGAGGTGCTAGGCGAGGCCTCGCACATACTTGCAGTGGCCGTGGCAGCAGCTCTGCCGGAGTTATCGCATGACGTCGGTTGTGAGCGAGGCAAAGGCTGTGACGGGTTTCACGTGACGGGGGTCTGAACAAGATGACCCAGCTAAGAGGACTCTGGTGGGCACGTGGTTGCACGTGCGGGAAGCGTCAGCCTCCTGAGAAGAAAGAAAGAACGAAAGACCATACAGAAAGAACGAAATCTTTACAGAAAGAAAGAAAGGAAGGACGACCGACCGACACATAGACGAACAACGACAAAGCGACATAAGAAGCAATCTCTTAAGGTTTTAAAGAGCGACGGCCGCGACTTGATTGACAAAAGAAGGGCCTCACAGCTTGGTGCCATGGCGTCCACGTTGGCTTGCAGTTCCTGTCTTGGTGGGTGGCCAGAGGGGGAGGTGATATGTTTCGCGCCCAGGTAAGGCGGCGGTGTACGGGATGAGTGGTCCAGCTGGCTTCCTGCAAGCTTGAAGGAGTCCTTCAGTCCGTGGGCTCTGCCAATGGCCTTTAGGAACTCCAGGACCGGGTGGCCCCGGCTTGGCGATGCGTTGCCCACGGGCCGCCCGCCCCGAAAACCTGCTGCTTTGCACAAGTCCACACCTCCGGATCTTGTGCCCTATTCCTGTCCTTGCTGCGACCCGCGCAGGGCAGAGTGTTTGCGAGAGTTGGCTCCGTGACCGTGGCAAGACCCGTGGCTTGGCATGCGATTCGTGTGTCTCGGAGCCACGCGGTACACATCCCACTTGTCGGCCTGGCAAGGGCTGCAGCTGGTGCGCCGGCTGCCCCACATGCATTGGCAACGCGGGTTCAGTAGCTTTTTCTTTGGGGAACATCCACTCGCCAGGACGCCCACGGTACGTCATCAACGCTACGTGGAAGGAAAGAAAGAACGAAGGAAAGAACGAAAGAGCGACAGAAACAAAGAGCGCAAGAAATACTAAATACACACTACAGAACGAAAGATCGAAAGGCATGGTTCACCGCAGTTGAAGTCTTGAGAAGGGGGACCTCTAGGAAATTTCGGGGTGGGCGGGTTTGCTGTGCATCTGTGAGCTCGATCGGGATGGTTGAAACCCGAGCAAGGCATGTCCCAACGACACTCAGCAGAAGCATCGCGCATAGAAGTGTCGCGCGTAGTGAGCCAGCACAGCAGGGTGACGAGTTTCGCCCTTGATTCTCAAGCCTGCTGAGAAGAAGAGACGAGGAGGCATGAGAAGCCGAAAGGGGCTACGCCGAAGCCCATGCGTTTATTTTTGTCCACGCAGAAACGTCCAAACTAGTCAAACCTGCTAAGCCGGTGTCGGGTGTTCCTTCCTAAAGACCTAATCCACATGAATTTCGCGCCCGTGGGCTTAAATGTGTCATCGACTTTCCAGGTCTCAGATGCTCTGGTGCTCACACTTTGCCTCACTTTGCCTCGGGAGTTGAGAGATGCCCTGCGCTTCGTCACGAAAATTGATGAAGTTTAATGAGGTTTGATGGTCTTTCCTTGCGCCTGGGATGTCAAGGGTTTCCTCATGTTTCTTCTACGATGTTGGCGAGTAGGTTTCTTTGCACGTAGCCTCTCGTGTGCTGTTTCACCGCTGTGCCACAAGTTGCGAGGAGGTCATCTCGGTATTTGTGCTGCTGAACTCAGTCCCGGCAGGGCGGGAGATGCTACAGAAGCTCCAAAGCAGTTGCTGCCAGATGTTCGGGCCCAGCCAACACAGAACAAACAGAACAATGAACCTTCAACCGGTAGCCAAGCTTTAGCAGCTTTGTGACCTTGATTGCGCTGGAAGGGAGGGTAGGGGCAATTTGCAGCTGAAGTCCGCCAAGCAGTCTGTGAGAAGGACCTGGAGGGCACTGTCAATACCGACGTGCTGCGAATCTTGCGCTTGGCACGGAGCCCTGGACATGTGGGCATGCTGACGAAATGTTTTGCTTGGTATGAAACGGTATGTATGCTGAAGAGTAGTGCTGGTAGGTGAGGCTGGTCAGTGATGTTTACGGTGCACGTGCAGACGGCCGAGTTAACTCAGCTTTGCCTGTCATTTGAAACTTGCAGGTGCGTATTCTGCGATTGTCACGGATGGCAAAATTACTGCGCGCGGTGCCAGAACTCGCGGTGTGCTAAGCTGGAAGAGCTGAAGTGAACATGTTGTCTTGCGAGAGTCTTGAGTGTCTGAGTGTCTAGCGGCCCTCCAACTCAGGTCATCATCATCAAGGGTATTGGCTTTGCAGCGGGACGCCCAGTGTATCTGTATCACGAGCACGGTCGTGCCAAGAGTTCTCAAGAGTTCCATTCACGGAGGCGCGCTCTGTGATCGTTTTCTTCATGTTATGGACCATGCAGCATTGCTGCACACAGTTCGTTCGATCTCGGCTCGAATTCTTCACAGTACGGCTGAGTTGTACCCACCTGGCTTTCATCCACTTCAGTTCCCGCTCAGGATCATTTATGTCTTTGCCATCCTCTTGCGGCAAGTGACGCAGAGCAGGGGGCACAAGTCAGGGGAGCCTTTGCGTTGTTTCAGGGCAGGCAGGGCTTCGTGTCTTGCATGCGAACGCTCTGTCGAGGCTATGATGTTGGATCCAAATACTTCTCTTCGGTGCCGAATTCCATGATGACCCTGTTGCCAAGCCCTGAGTGCCTGTGCGACACAGCATGACATAAGACAGAGGCAGTTCGCGATGCTTGAGTCATTGAAGCCTCGCATGCTGAGTCTCAGCGGCATAGTTCCCAGCCAAGCCTCCATCATCAATGAAGTTGGCCTGGGCCATAGATTCCATAGCCATAGAGCCATAGCATGCCATGGCCGAGATGACTTGCGGCGCACACATCAGCGCAAGATACGTGTGTGTGTGTGTGTGGAGCTGAAAGGTGTAGCCTCTTGGGTCTTTTGGCTCATACTGGTGCCGCCTGGCTATAGCTTGTAGTCGGGTTGGGGCTCGCAGAAGGGCTCCCTTGGTCTTTCCTGGAACAGTGGGAACAGAAGTGCAGGCTTGCTATCCCTGCTGTCCAAGGTGCTTCGTGCTGTTGGCCTCTGCTACTTGGTTTGCAAATGGTCCGCAACGGCCCTGCCCGATGGCCCTGCCCGATGGAAGCGATGACAAGTGAGCTCAGGTAACCATCATGTACATGCTGGTCGGGGTGCTTGTTGAGGTGATGACGGTCATCTCTGCTACTGAGAAAGAGGGCATGACAGTGTCTGCGGACAGCAACTAAGTGTAACTAACCGCCCCAACAAACATGCAATAGCTGGTCCGCTTGGCGGTTGGCAAAACATGCAAGACCAGCTGGTGATGGCTGTCCAGATGTGTGTGGGAGAAAGGTCATACGTGGCCTCGACTCTGCGGCAGCTCATGCAGCAGCTCAACTACAGTACGGACCCGCGGCTGGCAAAGAACCAAGTAGTGTACTAGCATCGTCGCGCAATTCAAGGGGCCATTTGGTTCTTCCACAGCGTTGTCACTGAAGCTGCCTCCTGCCCTGCTTTTTATTCTAGTCTTCTCCTCCTCGAGGGTGATCAGTCCTCCTTCCACATCATCCCCCTCAATATGGGCCATTAAAAGAGGACCCCTTATATACCCCTGAATTAGATTCAGAACCCTGTAAAGAAGGTCAGGGACCATATTTAGGGCTCTTGCATCGGTCCATCCTCGGCCCAACAATTTTGCAGTGCCCCTTGCTTCACATAGCGATGCGAGAATAGGAGAGTTTTGCAAGAAACCCGAGGAGGTGCCGCTGTCCCAGCGGGAGTTTCAAACTCTCTTGGTTGAGGAGGAGCAGCTTGGGCAGAAACGTGTGCCTCAAGTCTGTCCAAGGATTTTTGTGTTGCCTGTTGAGGCTATCAATGTCTTGGTTAAACTAAAGGGCCGAAATGCGGGGCAGAGAGATGAACTGTCTGAGCATCACACAGGGACTGCATTTGCTTGCACCAAGTGTGGACCGTCTCCTGAGTGGGCTGGGCGTCGACGTTGTGGCGCTACCCGGCTGGAGCATTGTTCCATGAATGATCCGAGTCAGCTCGATGCTGGCTCTTCATACATCTTTGTTTCTCATGAATCTGCCCTAAGCCCTGACCCCTAAGCCCCAGAGGGGGTAAGCTAAGCCCGAAACCCTAAACGGCCCTAAACCCTGAACCCATGTTGTGGGCGGCTGGTGCAAGCTTGAGGCTTGTTGACACAGCCGATGCAGGGGGCTCAACAGATTCTGTTGTCAGTGATATCTGGAACCCGAAGATGGCCTGAGAAATAATTACCTCTTTTGAGGTCATCTACGAGGACATGAACAAGATGGGAAAAAGTGGCTTGATGTCCATGAAACGCCCAGTCAGCAGGGGTCATCGGTCAGGAGGCAACATTATCTGATGCCTCTGCAGGGAAGTTTATTGCCATACTGTCAACATGCAATTCCCGAAGGGCCTATCCCGTCAGAGTGAACCAGACTCCCAAACGGCCCCACGCTCAGTTCAAAGGCATGACCTTTGAGAACTTGGTTGACACAATCCTGAATCTGCGCGGCAAGAACACGGCCACCGTGAAGGACCGGCGTGTAGCATATGGTGCGGGCGACCGGCAACTTAAACACAACGTTGCAGCACAGATATGGGTATTTCTCAAACTAGGGGTACCGCTGTAATTCCCCAAGTAGGACAGAATCCCCTTAATGGGACCCCCCAAAAAGGGCAGCCCTGTCCTCGGAAACCCCCCATATACAGACCAGGATGTCAAGGAGCAGGCTCGTGTCATCAAGGCCCATGGCGGGAGATTCTTCAGAATTGCCGTTCTCAAACCATGCGAATTGCACTGGACAGCTGGTTGAGTTCTGCCTTGTGGGAACTTGGGAGTGTTATCATGTGTTGACCCCATCCTTGCTGCGCAGTCTATGGTGCAGCAAACTCTGAATGCCAATGGCACGAAGGCGTGGAGAATGCCGTTGTGTGAAATCATCATGAAGTGGGAGTTCTGGTTCTTTGCAGTCTGCAGAGCGTGCTGTGAATGAAATCCGCTTGACATGGAGCTCCTCACACTCATGCCACGGCGCTGTAAAGGTCATGGAGGAGTTCCAAGTCTTGCGCCCCGAACTCAGGGCAGGAACCGGGCAGAAAGGTATGCTTCCCAGTATGCTTCTAAGTTAGAGCAGTGGAGCCGAGCTACCGGTCGGCACCCGTATTGAGGTCTTCATGTGTCGATGTTCCGAATGAGCTGCAAAGGCACCGAACTTGCAGCACTTCGGGAAGAGGCTCTGCGACGTGTGGCTTGGCCCGTCAGGGTGGGTCTGGGTGGTACGGGTGGAGGGACCGTCTTTTCAAGCTCTCTAAAGAACCGTTCGGCAATGTTCGCCGTTGTGATGTTAGCAGTGGGCGAATGATCAATCTGCACCCGAGGATGAGGACGATGAAGACGCGGATGCAGCCGCTGAGCTTACTCGGTATAGCGGTATAGATTCTTTAGGCACCGTCCGGAAATCCACGTAGCAGATCTGAGCCGAGGATGCTCTCGGCTTTCAGCTGGAGGAAACCGAGCCATTCCCTGCGAACTCACGTGGCTCGTCAGTCTTCAAGGTAGCACTCTGCAGCCTCGAGTTTGCAGTCGCCCGTCAATCGCCTATGCGCTCGCAGAATTGTTCTGAGACTGCGACGCGCAGCTAAGGCGGGCTGCAAGAGGTGGCAGAAGAGCCTGCGCCAGGACCCTCCAGCTCATGCGGGAGGAAAGAAGTCTTGCAGAGTCGACGTAAGAGAGTTGCCAGGAGATGGAGGCGAAGCAGTGGAGGAAGACTGAGCCATCTGCAAGCATGGGGCTGTGCAGCCGGTGGCCCTGGATCCACATTTGAATCAGACATTGGCAGGGGGAAAGGGGCCCGGGGCATGTGACACTGACACTACAAACGACAAATGGCAGGATGGCATGCCTGTGTTGCCGGGAAGGTTACTGAACCCCAAGCAAAGGGGATATACCCACCAGGCACAACATGTCCGAACAACAAACAGGCACAACCCCCACTCAAACAGTCGGCCCACGTACCTGCCGCGCCGGCCTGAGGCTTACCTCCGACGCTGCTGAGCGGAAGCATTTGAACCGAGAAGTCTCAAAGAGACCTTTTACCCGGCCCAGGCCGGTGGTCAATGAAAGGGCTGGAGGGCGCCGCCTCCAGATGTCCGGAATTATGCGGTCCCCGCTTGCTGGCTCGTCGCCGAAAAGGCGTACATGCAAAGACAAGCGGAAGCGCCGCCAAAGGTATTTCGATCAACAGCCTTCTGCGCGCATTATCTCAGCTAGCTTCCGGGTACTTCTTGTCACTTTTCGACGCATCATGCTGGCAGACTTGTTGCATGATTGACGATGAGCGCAGAAAAAAAGCTGGCCCAAAATGGCTGTTCCAAGCTTGGAAGAAGACAGAAATAGTAATAGCAGGAATACTAGTGATGCACCCGAGTTTTTAAAACTGCCAAGTTAAAGCTGGGGCAGACAGAATTGAAGCTGCAGGCTTCTGTTTCCGCCCTCGAGAAAAGCTCGGGCCGCTGATGCACTTCTACGCTTTGAGTTGAAGTGCTTGGTGGCGAGGATGGAAGAAGCGCCCAAGGCGCAAAGTGTTCGCAGAACGCAGGGCCCTCGGGCGGTGTGTGTGATGCACCCTGGCGTCAAGTCCATGCGCTGAACGGCCCAAAGACACGGAGGGAAGGGATTGGCGGCTCAAGCTTCTCATTTGCTACATGTGCAAAGCCACACCCCTTTGAGCAAGTCTTTGACCTACAAGTAGCACAATCTTGCAGTCTTACGCAACCTCCCACGCCAACGCCGGAATGGTACTGCATCCGAAACGATTCAAGCTTCCAGACTTCTGGCAGAACCCTCAGGCCGTAAAATGGAAGGGCTCAGTGGCGTTCCGTTGTACTTGTAGAAGGAGAAAGACCCGTAGAGGCTTGTTTCGGTGGAAATTCATAGCTGCCAGAGCTTTCTGAGGCTTACACAGTCATTGCCATATCAGCAAGCTGAAAGGATGTGCTGCTGCACTGCTTGTTTGCGTACTTCTCAAGGTCATGGTGGGAGTTCGGGCAAAAACGATTCAACGCATGTACCCCACAGTACCGACCTTCTTTCGCCTATCATCAATTCAGGCAGGGTTAACGACACGCTGAGAGACAGACAAGTTTGCAGTCAGCCACTGCTGTCCAGCTACCAAGCCACAGTAGACAGCGATGTGAAACCGGCACTGTGGCGAGCTTGGATCATGGCGGAGCCAGGCACCATTTGTTCAGATCCTTGCACGAGAGTTGGCTGCTCATCTCGAATGTCCCTTCCCTTCTCGGTCGGCATGTGTTATAAATCTTTGCGAGACGAAGCGAACAACACCACAGAGAAGATACCGCGGGAGCGCGAGGCCAGGCAAAGGAAGGGACCACCATGGACCACCTGTATGCATGGTCTGACAAAGTTTGCGTTTGCCAGGCTTGGCGGCGGCTTTTGGCCCGAGTAGCCCAGCTGCCTTTGGCCCAGAGCTCCCGTGAATGGTGCAGACGTTTGCAGGCTTGTCTCGCCAATCGAGCGTCCGAGGCGGGGATGCCCGAAGGCTTCCTCGCTGCTGCAGGACTTCGAAAACCTAAATCCACCAAAATATTTTTAAAACCCATGGATTTGCCAGAAGCTAACTTAAGCTGCCGCATGCTGCCGCGCTTTCGAGGAGAAGCATGCTGAGTTGCTGGAACCCGAGCTCATGAGTTTGTCCGAAGTGGCGGAGGGGAGCTGACACAGCGGCCGATTCATGTGTATGTGTGACCGAGCCGGTTCGAAACGAACGAGTAGGTTAACAGCCAGGCTTCACACGACCCCCCTCCCTCTGCTGCAAGCAACTGCGCGTCAGCACGAAACCGCGCACGCAGACAATTAATTGCGGACATGTACATAACGCAGTCAGCACTGTCCGAGTGGGCTCCAAGGCTGGTGCCCGGAAAGCCACAACATACATGCCAATTGAACTGACAGCATTTGATCAGATTTCGATTCGATGTACTCTGCTCCCATGGCGCTACTCCACTGCTTTGGGCATATCGGCTCCGGACCGAGCTGGGCAGAGGTGAGAAGCAATTTGCTGGCGACTCAGGGGGCTGATATGACTCATTGACTCAACACGGACTCGGTTCATCTCGGGGCATTCATACCGGGGTTCATCTCCTTCTTCTCGGTTCTGGGCTTCAAGGTCTTTCTACACCGCAATGAATCTGGCCTCGAGACGCTGCGGCCAGATCTTGGTGCAGCTTTCTGTGCATGGGCGTGCGAGCCATCCTTGCCAGCTAAGGAGACATCACATTAGACACACAGTCCCCTATGTACTGGGAGCTGCTGAATCTTTGGAGGCTGATGTCGTCGTGGGATGAAAATGGAAATGTAGGAAATCCCGGACTCCCTGCAGGAAGGTTGATAGCGACACGGCCCTGTCACAGCAGGCGTCGAGCCCTTGTCGCAAGTTGCTCTGCGTTGGGACGGTGTTTGCGGAAAGCGTGCATGCTCCATTGTGCTCCCGCCACGAAGCCAAGGAATCAGTGCATGGTGGGGTACGTCACCTTGAAAGTCATCGGCTTCATGTCCCTGCGGGCGCACCCCCTGATGCCGCTGCGAGCATTGAGCTCCCTGAACATGTCACTCCCAAGGCCGAAGTGATGCTCGACGAGCTGGTCAAGCCTGAAGGTGCGCCCCATAAGAGGCTTTCTGGTGTCTGTGGCACGACACACATTCCCTTTTCTCAGGCGTGATGATCCACCAAGTGTTACGGTACCTGGCCTCCACCTTGGATTGGCACAAAGTGGCCGATCTGGGATGGCCTCTCTTTCGGCTGCTAGCGCGACTCGAGTGCCTTGGCCACCTTATTTTAGGCAGTCAAGGGAAACATGTGGCTTCTGCACATCCAACCATTGAGGAGTCCTGCTCAGAGTGAGCTTGGCATGACAAATCCGTTGAACACGTGGTCCGAAGCGAACTGGATGAGCGATGCTTTGCAGCGAATGGACAAGTCTGCTGAAACCTCACTGGAATTGTTAGCTCGCGCGCGCGCGCGTGTGCTTGAAAAGGAACTGCCTTTCTTGGAGTTGGTGCAAAAGCACCTCGATGAGGGCACCACAATACCAGCAGCTGCATCCTGGCATTCGGAGAATTCTGCTGGAATGGCATGCGCCTCCTTGAACGCGATACCCTTTTGGAGAAGTGTTTGAATTGCCCAACGTGATGCCCTGTTGGAGAAGTGTTTGAACTACGAAGTACTCCACAATCACAGCCCGCATCCCTCTTTAAAGGCAAGTGCCTTGCTGCTGTCCTACCCGGATCGCATTTCACCCTTCAGCCGCGCCACCGCGCTCTTCGCGCTGGCCGAGGCCCGCTCTTTTCTGAGCAGAACAACCGCATTGGCAATGGGGATCCGAATTTGGGTACGTTTTGGTGCCCCCATCCTATTGGTAGCATGTTTTTTGTAGGCTTGTAGGTGCTTCGGCCTCCACGGATGGCTCCAGATGATGCTGGAGAGGCTGAGCCACCGCCTGCACCACAGCCGTGCGTCTCGTGTTCGGCGTCGCTCTTTTAAATAACTATTTTAAGCTCTTTGTTTGGGTGAGATCAAGCATGCTTAAGCTGCTAAAACCAAGGAGAGGCTGATTCGGCGGGCAGTATACATTTTGTCTGAAGCTTGGTGGCAAAGACCGTGAAAGCATCAGCTTCCCCGTCCCTCCATCCTCCTACAGCCAGGAAGATTTCCTGGCGCCAAAGTATCCGCCAATGGTGCCGCTGACTTCTCGCTGGCTGGTCAGCTGCACGACGTTGCATCCACGGGAGTCAGGGATTGTCGAAGCTTTGGCCTAAGGCCCATCTTCCAACTTGCAGATCGACTAGCTTGCAAGGCAGATGCCGCTACACGCAAGCCATGTGTCGATGCGTGTGTCCCATGCCGAATCAAGCGGAAGAAGCATCTCAATCGTTTCCTGTGCCTCTGCAGGGAGAGGTTCGCTGGAACCTCCCAGCGCATGCGGCCCAAAGCAGACCACGTGTGGCAGTGCTGCCAACTCCCGAAAAGGCTGGGTCTTTTCTTGTGAGGTCGCAGTGGTCGCACACCTGCTTGCAGTGAGGTCTCTGATGTCGTGCGCTCTTGCAGTCTCCCTTACTGCGACCTTTGCTTCGTGGAGCTGGCCTTACGCGCTGTGGCTGCTTCGGCTGCCAAGCTGAAAAGAGCAGTCCAGACGGACTTTCTGAGCTAGTTGACACCTTTCTATACCTTCGTGCTTGAAATTTTCAAAGTCGGGAGGCGCGGAAGAGCTTGCATCTCTTGGAGGTAGGCGCGAACCTGGGTGATTGCACTTTCTGGGCAGTGGCTCACCTGGGCAGGCCGGCTTCAGATCACGAGCAATGCTCAATCATCCTTTTCCTGAGCCTTCCCTCTCGCTCAATATTTGCTCCTCCGAAAGCCCGGTTCCGTCTACTCAGGGTCTGCTCTCTCTCTCTCTCTCTCACTCTCTTTCTTTCCTCTCCGTCCATATGATGAGGCACAAACTGGAGGCGGCAGTTGCTGTCGAGCCCGTGCCGAGCGTGGCCACGGCGATTCGGAGGAGCGTGGCCATCAACGGCTGGGACTCCATCCAGGCGAGACGTGGCGAGACATGGACCAGTCGGTCGTTGTGCTCACTTCCAAAATTATTCAGTGATTCAGTATGTGCATTTGTGGGAATAGTTTGGGTGACCCTGATGTGACCCTGATGTGGACGTTTACAGCAGGGAATCCCCGCAGCATGGCCTCTAGGGTGAGACATTGTGAGAGGCTGTGCAAGCAGCGGCTGGTGCCAGAGAAGGCCAGGGCTCAATGCATTTCCTGGCGCACGACGCGGGAAATCCTTTTGCCAGTGCAACTGCCGCATCCTGAGTTTTCGGGCAGGATGCATTAGAAAATAGTGGCAATTTGCCACTCTGTCTCTCTCTCTCTCTCTCGTGGTTTCGCTCTCTCTCTCTCTCTCTCTCTCTCTCTCTCTCTGTCTACGTTTCTATTTCTGTCTCCCATATCATGCCACAGCCGACTGCAGTCTGTACCTGCATAGTCATTGCGACCGACTTGACTGAAGGCGGTGGCCCCACGGAATTTCTCGGCACTATCCGTGCCTGTCCGCGTGACCACAATTGATCGCCTCTTCTCGTCACAGCCACGACACGGAACCGCTCGGATACTCAAGCTCTACGCCTACGCTGACCTCCTGGACCGTGGGCAGTCACTCTGTTTCCCGCGAGTTGCCCTCTGCTCCACTCAACTGCGCAGGATGTGCTGAAGGGTGCGCGCTCGGCGTTGGCAAGAAGGGTGGATGCTGTGTGGCTAGCCTTTGCTGCGGGACTCTTGCCTCGACCTCGATCCGCGGCTGTCGTGCTCTCAGGACGTCTCATGTGCCAGGAGTCACATGCGTTGAGAGTACGGCCGAGCGTTGTTGAATGTTGTTGAGGTGGCCATGTTTGCCTTGTTTCATCAGAAGGCAACCTTTGGGACAACATATCTTCAGCGGATGTCAGCTGTCACGCGCAACGATGCAAACTTCCACTGTATCAAGTTTTTGTCCGCGCTCTGGAGTACACAGGGCTTTCGAGTGGCCTTGCCAAGCTTCGAGGCAGGGCGCTTGAGATAATCTAAATCCACTCGAGGCACGTTGCTGATATCATGTGTGAGAACTTTGCAGGTAGATTGGTGCAGAAGTTGGCGTCCTCGTTCGGTTGCAGAGAACAGGTACAGTCAATGATCTAATGAACAGATGTTGCTTTTTTTGGCCGTTGCTCTGTATTCATCGGCACCCATGAGGATGCGGCAGTGGCTATCAGCAACGCAGGGACAAAGAAGCTCGTCGGAACAGAGGCTCAAGCATCAAAGGAGCACGTGGCGGACTGCAGAATAAGGAACTGTTCATTCTATGGTCTATGTCGTGGCATTCCGGCCACGAGCCCTTCACTGCAAACCCTGGCAAAGCTTCAAGCACCAGGCCGCGACCTCGTTGCATTGAGATTGTTCTCGAAAAACCGGCTGCGATGATTGGCACAAGGCGGAGGAATCCCGGCGCTGGGACCGTGCTGGCACGGCCAAGGGTTGTTTTTTCGGCCAGGCACCCCAGAGTTGTGACATGTTATTCCTGTCGGATCCTGGCAGTTTAACTGTATAGTCTTAGTAACATTGTTTAACTACTCAATCTCCAACTTCCGCTTGTGCCTTGATGGACGGCTGACCACTTGAGCATTCTTAGGACGTTCGCGGCGGCAGCTGCTCATGGCTACCTGGCTAGCTGTGCGACTTAACATTCTCAAGTGGCCACCGGAGTATGTCACCCGAGGCAAAGCGACATCGTGCCAGCTACGCGCAGCTTGGCTTTAGCTTCTTTCCCTTCAGCAAGGCTTGTTGCCGAGATCCTGCTGAGGTCATATTACCTGGGTGAGGAAGAATTAGAGCTAGACCGGCTGATCCGAGGGAAAAAGGGAGTTGCTTTCTTTGGTGCTGGCCCTGTGGCCATGTGCAGCCTTGCAACTTCGCCCCCTCCATAGGTTGGACTTTTTCAACGACACCGATGGCCACTTGCCCAGCACCTCTGTGCAGACATGGAGTGTTGTTGTGCCTTCGTGCTCACACTTTCAGGTGACATGCGCCCACCACAGCTGCCGTTCGAGGACGACGAGCGTGCACAGCGTTGGCACATGCCTCGATGGGGATGAGTCCGTGCTGCGTAGTCCGTGTCGGTCTGTGCCTTCAGCCCCTGATGGGCCCACAGCGGCGTAGAGTCGGCATAGATGCCAGCGAGCTGCTGCAGCAATCGCAGGAAGCATAGTAATGCATCCAGGTTCCATCGGAAGTTGAAGAGCAAAGGCCTTGCTCCTTGCCTCGCAGTCATCTGAAGCTGTGTGAGTTGTTCAAGTTTGGGCAGATGGAAGCAAGATTCGGGCAAAGCTTTGCAACAAGCTTGTAGCAGCCTCAGTCTAGACACATGCTATGAGCAGCGTCTTGGCTGTGCTTCAGAAAGCACCAAAACTTGCGCCAAACGAGCCTGATCAGTATGTCAAGGCGCTGCAGCTGCAGGACATGGGTCACGAGCTGATAGGCACCTTGCTGGAAAGGTGCTGTTCCATATTGAGCTTTTTGGCATGGCTTTCTCAGGGCATGACCATGCAGCAGCCATCGAGCGCGTTTCTGAAGCTCTGACGCGCTGGCCTGAGCGCTTGGTGACAGGACTTTTGTGTTTGTCCGTGGGATTGCCTGTACATTCGAAAACGCCAAAAAGAGACGTGCCGAGTGCCGAGAGTTCAATTGAGGCAAGGCACCGCTGAGGAGGGGCCTCTCGTTTGCAGCATGCTGGCGAAGGCCCGTTCTCGGAGTCTCTTGGGGTTTTGGGGTTTGTATATGTTGAGGTGGTTGGTGTGTGTGTGTGTGTGTGATGTGTATGTGTAGGTGCGTACGTATGTGTGTTAGTGCCGTGAGTGAGAGATTGTGTGTGTGTGTGTGTGTGTGTGTGTGTGTGTGTGTGTGTGTGTGTGTGTGTGTTTGTCTCTGTCTGTCTCTGTCTGTCTGGGTCCGTGCGCTAAAACATTAATTAAAGCCTCTCATCAACAGATCTTGCTTTCCGTGCAAAGGGCCGAACGACTATCATGAGAGCTGTGGCCAACGAGGACCTCTAATCATAGTTGCGAAAACGAACCTGAAAAGAAGGCAAGCAGGACCCAATCAGACACGAAGTCGGTAACTTTGTTTTTATTTTTGATAAACCAGGTTTGAGGCAACGATCGAGCGAACAGTCACGTTCAGTCTTTTTTGCGCATTTGCGGATAGTCGTGCAGCAGGATGCCAGAGGGCTTCTTAGATTCTGGATGCAGATACCAGATGCGCAGATTACAGATGCCAGGCTCCAGATACAGATCCTCAGCCAGATTCCCCAAGCACATGCAACCAGATAGTAACGTTACTTTGTCGAGTCGATGGCCTTGGCTCTTGTGGCATCTCATTGTCAGTGTCTCAGTGGCAGTGTCTCAGTGCTAGTGTCTTAGTGTCAGAGTCTTTTTTTTTTTTTTTGTGTGTGTGTGTGTGTGTGTGTGTGTGCGCGTGCGTGCGCATGCGTGCGGGCGGGCGGGCGGGCGGGCGTGCGGTTCTCACATGTTCTCACATCGAGTTGTTGTTATGTGTTTGCTGGACGGTACGCAGCAAAAGCGCGCTTCGTTTTGCCCTCTGCAGCACAGAAACGGCCTCGTGGGTCAGGATTCGGCGGGGCAGAGCAGCGTAGCAAATGGGTGAATTCACCTACGGAGTCCTGTTGATGGACTGTTACAGAAGCCGTTGGCCGCAGGAGCTGGAGGGAACGCGATTTGATCATCACTGGATCTCCCAGGATGGAAAGGGCCGTGACCTCAGTCGTACAGGTTACGAAGGACCGAAAAGCACAACAATGGAAACGCTGAGAAGCTTTTTGAGTACGTGGACTGCATGTTTGCTCGAAATATCCAGGTCGCTATCGTCTCGGCGAGGCGCAGCGCTGTCTGAAACTGTCTCAGCGTGTGGGCGCATGCTTTTTCAGACCCTCGGCAGTCGGAATTGGTTGCAGGATGGCATGAAAGTTGCCGTGCAGGCACGGCGCTTGCTTCGAACCTCAGCTCTGTGCGGTGACAAGCCCCCCCCTGCCCCCCGCCACTCTGCAGATCTTGGATGGCAAGCTGCTGATCCATGGCTACTTCGAAGGCCAGTGCAGCAAAGGCAGAAAAGGTGAGGGCTTCATGAAGGCGCTGAATTTTAGTGGGAGGTTCCTTGGTCCACCCCGTGCGTATTCCCATCCTTGCGTTCCTGACAGAACATGGCCGGCCCCCTTAGACATGCTCCCATGATCCGGCGAGAGCTCTGTGCAACCACTTGTAATCAAAGCAAGGTCGAACTTCGCAGAAGCAGCCTGAAGACGACTGTGACCTCTTCGGACTGACCGGCTCGTTTTGAGGAATCTTGCGAGGGCAATGAGGACTTGGGGCCAGTTTCACTGTTTCACTTGAACGGCAGGCCAAGCCGCAGCTGCGGCAGCTGCCAAGGAGAGGAAAAGACCAACACCAAAAGGGCCAAAGGGCAATGAGCATGTTCTGAGCATCTCTGAGCATCTTCGATTCACTCACTTGCGCCACCAAGTCTGTGAGGAGGAGCAGGTGCAGCTGACACGGGAACGCTCGCGTAGCCCTCGACCGAGCAAGGACACAGCAATGCAAATCGTGTTGAGCCTTCGAGCAAGCAAGGAAAGGGAGGTCCATCAAGAGAGCAAGCCCCAAATGAAACCTTAATTGACAAGATACAAGTTGTTGTCCTTCGTCCAGGAAGCCGCGGAGGAGGGCGCGTCATTGCCGCCCGGGTGGGTGGCTTTCCCAGTTGCCAAGCTCTCTAGGTTGAGGGCTCAAGTGCTTTGAAGTTGCCACATGAAGCAAACCCAGGTCAAGAAGGAATCGCGTTCGAAGCCGGGCGTCTTCTACTATGCCAACGAGGTGTCTTGCACCCTTCTGAGCCATGGCTTGTTGGAATAGTCCCCAACCCGCGCCCGAAGCACGAACGCAAAGGACGACCTTTCCCCTAGCTTTCTCTTAAGGACAAGATGCTGTGTGGTATTTGGCAGGCGAAGGGGCTAACGCAGTTCGAGCGGCCTGCTTCGTGAGCTTGTGGTTCGCCAGCGCAAAAAAGTGCCGTTCGTCCCTTGTGTGTGGCATGCTGAGCTGGGGAAACGATGTGCGACTGGCTTGTACTGTAGGTTGCGCAAAGCATAGCAGCGTTGGCGACATGACATGCCCCCCGCTGCTACTTACAACAGTTATCAGCCTGTCATAGGGTGCATGAAGCCCACATTAGTTGAATTTAATGATGTGGCAGAAACAAACAAGCAGCCTAATTAGGCTATTATTAGGCTTCAGCAAGCCAGGCAAGAGCTGCATTGCGAGTCCAGTCCTAGACAGGTAGCAGAATACAGTTTGGTGTCTCCGCCATCGCGTGCCAAAAGCGTGTGCTGCGGGAGGACCTCCGGACTGTATGCATGAAGCCAAGCTTTCGTCCCTATTGCTAGACTTGTTAGGCGTATGGCTGCATGGTGGCAGAATTGGAGGGCGCCACAGACTTGGTGGATTTGACTGGAAGGGTGAAGGAGGCAGGATTTTTGGCACGATTGCGCCTGAAGCATGGTGCCTTGTAACGTCCGCCGCAGGTCTTCGGCCGCTACCGGGCTGATGACCGACGCGGCTTCTTGACAAGGCCCATGAAAAGAGTGCATCCTACGGGAATGAGGGAACCAGGGAAGCACCTGTCGTGACAATGTTCGGGAAGGGTGCCTTTGAGCAATGCAAGCGGAAGGCCAGAGATGCAGAAGCTGCTCAATGACCTCATCCCGAACACCAGCGCCCCAGTTTGCATACAGCAACGCGTCTGGCGGCTTTCCGCGTATTCGACTGTTGCAGGATGTTGCGGGAGCTGTGCCTCTTCCCTGTATCAGGTTACAAATTTCTAGACAAGCTGCTCAAGGAGATCGATGGTGATGGTGCAGACGGGAAGTTCACCACTCCCGAGATTGTGGACTGGTCTGCTGCCTTAAGAACTGCCGAAAGATTGCTGAGCAGTGACTGGGTGTCTCTAAGGATGCCCTCCCCCTTATCCTCTGAGGTTGGTGGGCAAGGCGAGCCAAAGGCAAGCTCAGCGGCTCCTGCTCCGGGCGATCGTCGAAGCCACGGGTGACTCTTTGGGGGCGAGGGTCATGGAGACACCTGACATCACGAAGGTTGTCCACGAGAGGGTTCCTATGAGGTTAATCTACATAATTAGGGCCCCAACAGTTTTCTTTTAATTTGTATTTTATCTGGGTTGTTCTTTGGAACATGTTTTGCTTTGCCTTCTTCTTCTTCTTTCCTTGTACAGTACGTGAGGGAACCTATTTGTGAATAACGTTTAAAGGGTTAAGGTAACCCACAACCCAGTTGTCGATTCATTGGAGTGACAGCTATCACCGAGGATGTTCGATCGGTATGACCTGGATGGGAGCTCTTTTCTGGAAAGACATGAGCTGATGAAGGTGCTTCGAGTTTTAGACTCTGAGATCACTACTGCAGAGATCCAGAGCCCAAGCTGCAGCGCAGTGTAATCATCATCCCTGCAACTGATGTCACTGTGGGTTTCTCTGGGCCTTCTTGAAGTGCATGTGCACCTTGCCAGCTTGGTCTTAGGAGAGTCTTGGGCGAGCTCGACACCAGCGGAGACGGAAGGGTCGGGCCACCCAACTATTCTTCAACACTCGCTTGGGAGAACCGCTAAACATGTGCATCGTGTGTTTCAGAGACGCAGGTGTCCTACAAGGAGTTCCTTTCCTGGCTCCATGTCGGTGGGTCATTGGCTCGAGCCTGGCCAACAAATATATGGGTTGCAGTGTGCAGCAGAGGGCGCCGGCATTCTTGGTGGCCTTTGTCTGCTGAGAGATGCTGGGAGTATCTTGAGCAGCGAATTTAACGGAACGATTGAGCATACGCCGTGATGAGGAAAGCTTTCCAGCAAGCTCAAGCAGGTCACAGGCCTTGGCCTTGCTTGCACCTTCTGAAGCTATGGTTCTTTCAAAGGTCTCCTTTTCAGCATTGCAAAGCAGGCCCAGTCAGAGAGAAGAGGGTCAAAGACGCCTTCACTTTGCGACGGGCCTAGTTGCTTAACGATCTGGATGTGGCACAGGGAAGAGCCACCCCTGAGGTATGACGTTAGCGGAGATGGATTCTTGGACATATCTGAGCTGCGGAACGCCATGGGCCATATGTTCCTGTTCAATCAGGAGCCCGCCCTCACTGCAGGGCTTCTCAGGGGCGCTGAGAGATCATTGTGTCTTATTATGTCTTGAAGTCCTTGATGGTTTCAAGGTGTCTTGCTGCGAACCTGCTGTGTCCTGCCACTCGTTCTCATCCATGGGCATGGCTGTGTTCTGTGCGGAGGGGTCCAGCAGAGAAGTTGTAGAATTCGCAGGACGAGGTGAACAAAATCTGTGCGGACTTGGACACCAGTAACGCTGCTTGATGTGAAACATGTCAGCTGTTGGACTGCAGTGGCAGAGGGAACTCGGGCTGGGCAATGAGGATGGTGTAGTTTCGTACAAGGACGCCAGTAGTGCTCACTTTGCTCCCTTCGTGCTTGCAAGTCTCCGTGCGGCATCTGGGCATTTTGTGTCAATGGTGCCAAATAGCGCCCTCGCCTTTCGAATCTTGGGGAGGAGTTTTCTACGTGGATGCGGAAGGGGTCAACCTCCAAGGAGGTCTTGAAAGGCAAGACTATCCTGGCTCCAGCGCCGCAGCCGGCATTCATTGTGTCATCTGTAGTGCCACCGACGTACAACAAGTGCCCCACAGCACCTTCCTGAGATTGACAGCGATGGCTTGGATGCCGTGTTCTACGTTTTCTGTGGCCCCGGCAAAACTGCCCCTCGGATGGAAATGGGCCATTGCCTCAGTTGTGTAGACTCTGAGTAGGGGCTCAGGAAATGGAGATGAAGGATTTTGTGAAATTCTGCAAGAACTGCAAATTCATCGACTCAACGTTGCCTCCTGCGGTGGCGGATACTTGGCGGCCAGTTGTCTACCAACACATCGGACCGAGGAATGTGTTCCCAAATCAGACAAGAGTGTCTACGAATGTGCGACCCAAGCTGCTGTTTCACTTAATCAGTGCGGTTGGGTTGCGGTTGCGAATTGAAATTGAAATGAAGTCTCCCTTATCTTTTTGCTTGCTGGGTCGGACAGCGGCAGGCTGGGCAGGTAGTCGTCGAGTCGTTGGACTCTTGCTGTTACACACTGGCACCTACTCCCTCCACCAACATATCGCTTGCGATCGACGACCCATCCAACGTGGGCCCGCCAAATACCCTGAAATCAGGTCTTCATTGGATTCCATCCACTCAGTAATGTAACGCATGTTTTTTGCTGGACTGCTCCCGACCCGAATCCAAGTGACCGGGGCCGGATGATTCGGGCCCGGCTGAATCAAACTGGTGGGTCCTCGGGGAGGGGGAGGGGCACATGTTCTCGTATCTCGTGTGTGTCCCACATCGTAGGGATGTTAGGAGTACCACATCGTCGCATGTTCTGAAGTGCTTGCATTTGTCAGCGTATGTTTTCACAATTCTCAATCTGCTCGTTTGTGGCCACCTTTTACTCGCTCGCACTGAGACGTTTGCCCAGGAGCTTGTCTTCAACGACCACAGGGTGAAGCCGCATGGACGGCGAACCATTGCAGCCTGGTGTGTAAGTGCATGTAGCCCTGAGATGTCCATGCGTCCGCACATGTTGCAGATGCCCCGGGCTGTTGAACGAAGCGAGCTGTGTGCAATCCCCAACAGGCAAAACTAGCCGCACTAGCGAGATCAGAGCAGCATGTCTTTCTCTGCTGGTTTTTGCTTTGGCTTCCCGATGGTTGAATCTTCATAAAAGAAGTCCGCAAAGGACTTTTTCGAATTCGCAGTGGCATTGGAGCTCCTGGCCGAGCGCAAGAACGCAAAGGCACGTCAAGCAGTTGCAGAACTTGTGCTGTTCATCTTGGTACTAGGCGGCTTAGCGGCCAACTTCGTGCTATCTTGCAAAAGCTATCCCAATGGTGGTTGCAAGTTTTGAGGCATGAGGCATGGTGAGGTGGCATGAACAACAGAACTGGACATTCAACGATACGTGGTGTTGCCAGAGGTATCGTAGAGTCAGAGATCGAAACATGCAAGAACATGACGTTTCAAAGCTACATGTCACATGGTGCCCATATTGTGTATCCTGCTTGCGGAAGCAGCAGCAGAGTCGAGGTCAGCGACTTGTACACGGTGGCCTTGCTGACTGGCGGCCCGCAGGCGCAACTGAAGGGGGCAGTGGTGGAAGCGGCGCCAAAAGGCCGAGAATGTCCCGCACGCAAGCAACGCAAATCCAGAGCTTTGGACTGCAGTAGCCCAGCTGGCAACAGCGGCTCGGTAGCTCGTAAGACTTCGTAAGACTCTAAGTCTCTAGGTTCTGAGCTGTGCCCAGGGACAGGGATCACGAAGCAGATGAAGCCAATCCTTGAGGACAAGGATGGTTGGAAACGTGCCCGGGCCCATGCTGTCAGGCCATGTGTGTCTTTTCAGTTGTTTCTGATGGGTTTCTTTCTAAAGGGCCAACATCAAGGCGAGGCGGCCAGACTTGCTTGGGATTGCTCAACTCCTGGCCAGCACTGAGGACGTCGATAATGGTGAGCTCTGGAAGAAATTTGGCTGCGAGCTTGGCATGTCAGCCAGATTGTGGAGGGTTGTGCGCAGGGAAACTGTTACAGCCGAAGAGGAATCGGGACTTCTGCTGGCCGGTGTCTCCGTCAGATCTATGGCCCGTGGAGCACTCGGACCATCTGTTCAGGGCTTGTTGGTGCACTGCAAAGGTGTGGGCGCAGAGGTGAAGGGAAGTCCTTGACGGACAGGTCGGATGCCTCCCCCCCGGCGCCGGCACGCATTGGTGCGATCCCTAGAAACTCCAACCTGTTGGTAGTGCAGCCATCCTCAGCTCTGTAACTGAAGGCTTTGTGGCCGTCCGAGGCCTGCCACAAGTGCATCACAGCGCCATCAATCTGCAGAAGATTCGAGGAGCTCGAGTTAGTTCAATCATCATGGCATATCCCCACTTGTCTCACTGCGAACCGGGCCAACCACATCCTGTGAATCGTTGTCGTGTCTTTCCCTTGGAACTAGCACACTCCTGATGCAAAACCGCCCAGTAAGTCCTGGTCTTCGCCCTGCCCGCCTCGGTTTTCAGTGAATTTCGCATTGCAAGCCCGTCTGATGGGGGGGGGGGGGGAGAAACGACCCGAAGCCAAAGATGCTTTGCTAAATGTGTCTTTTGTTGGTGATTCAACTCTGTTACATGGTGTCACAAGCCCCACTGATCGACGTGCACGGGTGCCGCCCCCTGTATTAAGGACATGATGTCCGGGATGTAACTTGAGATGACTTATTTTTCATTGTCAGAATTGTCTCAAGACTCGAATGGAGCAGTTCAAGGATCAAAGCAGCATTGCCCAGCTGTAACTCTACCAAACTTGGATGAAGCCTGCCTAACAGATGGTTCCCGACAGGACCTTTGGAACACGTCAGGCACCTTGCTGCGGGGGCAGCTGCAGGTGGCGCTGCCTGCCACGGAGGCCAGCTTCACCTTATGGGAAGTGTACTGACTGAGGACTGAGTACTGATCACTAGGACACTAGGAGATGTGGAGGGATGGAAGAGCTCCCACAATGTCGCAACAGCTCCATTCAATCAGGCCTGGGCAAGAGCTCATCACTTCCTGCCATTGCTGGAGTCCGCACGTGCTCGGTCAAGATGCCTGCCGCCCAGATGTCGCAGCCCTTCTAAGCAGATTTGTCAGGCTGTTAGGCTGCCGATCAAAAAGATGCCATGACAGCATATGACATCATGAAACATGGCTGATGCCATGAGATCAGGTCACCAAGTCCATCTTTGCCATCTTTGCAGTGAGGAAGAAGCTTGTTTTCAAATTTCGCTTGTCGACCGCACATGGGTTTTATCATTGAGGTTGTGCGGTGACCATGTAAACTGCAAAATTACTGGGCAGCAATTGCTTGGTTCGAATTCCTCGGCGCATATTTGCGCCGCTTGTTCGTGGGCCATATACGTGCGAAGCACTCTGCCCAAATTCAAGGCAGCAGTTTCCATGGGCTTCTCCAAGAGCAGACCTGTCATGCTGTTTGCAACATTGCGCAACTTGCGGAACTTTATTCCCGGTGACACTGCAGATGCTGTGACGCGTGCTTTGCGCACTTCCTGTCAGTTGGACTACATCACACTTGGAAGGGTGCCTTCTTGCCACAGTTGGCTCAAGCATTGCAAGCCTGATTTACAAAACGAAGCTCGGCCACCAAGGTCGTCATGTTGCGCTCCCTCATTGTCCTTTCACTTCTGGGCCTTCGCCTTTGCCTGGTCCTCAACGAGAACACTCTGAATGAGAAGGCACCGGCTGTGAACGCCAGCCAGCTGGAGCAGAAGGCAGCTCCAGTCTTGAAGGGGAAGTCGGAAGATACGACGATGGCTGCGGAAGAGATGGAGGAAGGCTCGGACATGATGGAGGCTGACACAGCGGAGCCTCAGGAGTCTGAGGTGTCTGAGGTGGCTGAAGAGGCTGTGGAGGAGGGCCCAGCAGAGACCCTTGCCGAGAATGCAGCCGAGGAGGAGGCAGAGGCCGCAGAGACTCCCGAAGACATTCCGCCCCCGAGTGAGGAAGAGTCCTCTCCAGAGATGGAAGAGGAGGAGGCGAGCTCGGAGCCTATGGACATTCCGGCAGGTGCAGCGGTTTCTGCCGCATTAGAGTCCGATGACTGACAAGGGTCTTTGACTTGAGCCTGCTTCCGAATCCATGCGAGCAGTCCGAGTCCAGCCTGGGTCAAAAATGGAGCCCACGCCTGCAGTGAGAACGCTCTTGGTTTCCGGTCTTGGATCATCTTGAGTACATGCTTGGCACGTGCTTGGTGTGCATGCCGCTGTGATCCACAGGCCTGCAAACAATGTAGGCCAGAGCCGGAATCCAAGTTGCAGCGTCAGAGGACCTCGACCTAAACCCGGAATCAAGCCAACCATACCAGTTGAATCAGAATCTCTTGCCGCATGGCCGACATAGCTGCGAGTGGCCAAGAGGCCGAAGCAGGAGACTCAGCATATGGAGACCATGGCATCAATGGATTCCGGGGGATTCAAAGAAGTGCGATGAAGGCCTTGGATGAGCAGCCCAAAGACTGCACCATGGCAGTGGCCCCAGCTTGCCATAGCCGAAGGGCCGGTTAATGCTTCACAAAGTCGAAGCATCGAAGTCTAAGTTCCTCAATGAAGAGGCTCAGGGGCCCCCAAATATGTGAGACAGCCGGAAGCCATGCCAGCATCTGAATTGCTAGAGGCTTACGACAAAAAAGGGGCGTCTAGCAGCTTACGGCCTCTCAGGCTCAGGGGCGGCCTCTCGTCCAATTTCGTCTACACTGCTGTAAGCACCTTTTCAGAAGCCAACTGACGAGCTCAAGCCTGAAAGCAAGCCTAGTGCCTACAATCACCTGAAAGTATGTCGCCTGGTAAGCAACGAAGCAAGATGCGTTTAAGTGGATCACCATCTGACCAGTCTGACCATGCCTAGCTGTCAGTCTGGTGCGCGCCTGGGAAATTGAAAGCCCAAGGCTCTCAAGCGTGTTGTGGTCCGAGCTCAAACACGTGAACCCACCTGACTAAGCATGTCAACGCATCGGCTTAAAGGCTTCGGAGCTTGGGAAGCTAGGATGTTCTGGGCAGTTACGTATCCTGACGCGACAGCTGAACCTTGGTTCAGGTTTTCCATCTTGCTGCAGTTTCTATGCGTGCAGCCGATGCTCCAGCAGATGGAGAAGAGGTCCAGGACAGGCACAGGGTAAAGTCGGAGTACAGTACACGCACGTGTGCCTTCACGTCACGACCTGTTGCAGGAGCTTGCGCTAGAGAGTGGCCGGCTCGAAGATCCTCAGCGCATGCTGCCTGCCTGAATATGCGATGGCTGTGAGTCCTGGGCACTGTTGTATTCTAGTATGACAGTATGACCTGTGCCGCATGCCTCGGAGGTCTGATGCTGGGTACTGTCCGCGCGAGGAGGTTGTGAGGCAGCTTGGTTGATGTGGGGGTTTACGAAAACAGGTGCACCCTCAATATGCCCCCAAACTACGATCGTCCTTATCGGAACCCCCAAAAGGCTATCCTGATAACTACGATAATCCTTACTGTAGGAACCCCCAAAAGGGTACCCTGTTTTTGCAAACCCCCACCTCCTTGCAGCTGACCGCCCATCCAGGCTGTGGAAGGAAAAGTCCCGCATGGATGCCCTGTTTGATGGAGGCGACAAGGAGGCCTGCAACCTGCCAGATGGGCATCACAAGCTAGCTGAAACGTCAAAGCTTCAGGCATACTGGCTGGCCCGTGATGAGATCTATCCTGAGGCTCCCCCCCCGTGATGAAATGAAAGAGTTGTGATGCTAGCCCATCTTATCCACGCACCAGGCAGGCCATCGAGGTTCTGATCGCCAGCCTTTGGGCAACAGGTCGGGCGACAAGATAGAGGCGCTCTCCAGACGCGTGGCCACCCAATCTCCTGCCGCCTGAGATGCAGGAGATTGTCACCGCTGTTGGGAAGCTGGAGGCCCTTTATCATCCTCTATCAATATGTTTGTAGATTCTTTTTTGCCGACAGTTTCGGAGACAGACAGAGAGAGCTGGGAGAGAGAGAGAGAGAGAAAAGACCTCCTCGTTACACGTATCACACGCCGACCGACTCGGTAGTACGTGCCCCTTAAGGGGCGGTGCCTTGGGGGACTATATGTGCTGGAAGGAAGGAAGGAAGGAAGGAAGGAAGGAAGGAAGGAAGGAAGGAAGGAAGGAAGGAAGGAAGGAAGGAAGGAAGGAAGGAAGGAAGGAAGGAAGGAGAAGAAGAAGAAGAAGAGCGAGCGAGCACGTGGTGGAACATGTGCCCCAATTTCTTTCTACGCTTGCGCGCGCCGCCTCGGCAACCGGGCCGGCCCAGAGCATGCAGTATGTGGAGATGACGTCGGTCTGGGGGGAGCCAGGCACAAAATTCCGCCCGCAAGGAAGGGTAAGGGGGCAGGAGACCGGCGGGGTCGGCGTTCCAAACGCTCATCGCTTCCGACAAAGAGGACGGTTGGACAGGAACAGACGGCCCTCCACGGCACCGGTTTGCTGCTCCAAGTGGTCGGGGGGGTCCCACAGGGCGGGGGGGGGGCGTTCCGTCACAAAATTCTGCGAAGGGTTGGGTGAGGGGGAAGGAGACCTGATCCGGGTTTGCTTGTTCCAGACGCTTCTCGGCAGGAAGCCGAGGCGAATAATTCCTCCGTGCTGCTACAAGATGGTGACAGAGTGCGGTGAGGCTGTAGTAGTCGGTAGTCTTAGTCGTTCGTGTTGGGAGTCTGTTGGAAAAGGAGAAAATCTCGCCAACAGACTCAGCCCCCTTTAAAAAAACGGTTGCAACCGCGACTCGAAGCCTCATGGCCAGCGCGGCCGCCTCCGTTCTTTCGGGGGGGCAATTGCGCGCAGAAGTGGAAGAGAGAAGAAGAGGTCGCAATGACTGTCCGGCACGTGTAGCCTGGGCGGGTGCCCATGGTGTCGATTCCACTGCCCCTCGGGCGAGAGTCGGTCAGCAAAGGGGGTAGCAGTAGGGGGTTGCCTCTTGAAATAAGCAGGGAAGATCGACAGTGTCATGCGTGCAAGGGTACATCCTCCCGGCACGAATGTGTGCTTAGTGACTTAGTGCATGGTCAGGTAAGAGGGTGTCGCTTGGCTTCGGGGGAAGTGATGACCGGTTGGGGAACTTGCACGCTTGTCGAAGTGTCACGAGCCGACACCGAAGAAAACGGGACGGCTTGGCGGGGTGAACCAGTTCAAATACTGGGATGTAAAGCGATGGGCAACGCGGGAGCTTAGCCACAAAAACAAATTCTGACAGACGTTGGAAAGGGAAAAGGGGGCTTTCCTCCCTCGTGCATCCAGTCTGCTTCGATTGGGGGCTTAGTTCCTTGTTTTCGTCGGGGGGTTCCGGGCGGAGGGGTGCAACGCCGGATTGTGCCATGCGCGTCGACCAGGGGAAATGACTCGCTTCGTGGACCCTCAGAACCGGGCCCGCGGGAAGAGGAAAGAAGAAGATGACGAAGGAGAGATAAGCGGGATCCCACGGGGTCCCTAAAGCGAGCAGAAGAAGAATACTACTGAAAGCACTCAGCCAGGTGCTGCTGGATCGTTGCAAGGAGAAGGCGGAGTGATCATGCGGAGCCTTGAGCTTGTTGGGAAGCCACTTGAGTTGGAGGGTCGGCTGGTCTTCGCTGACGTTTGCGGAGCTCCTGGTGCATGGTCCAAGTATTTCTTCAAGCTCGGTCGGGTCCCTGTCGTCGAAGACATCATGAGTGATGCAAGGAGATGACTCCCTCTGTCTCTTATGTTCCATGGAGTTATGACTCCTACGAGGTATGGTTTGGGAAGGTCCCCTGCCTCCCCCCCCCCCCCCCCCCCCCCCCGCGCCCGAAATGCAGGTGCCGAGGCCCGGTGCGTCACGCGCGGTTTTGGCTTCAGCCTGCGCGAGGGGACGAACGTGCTGAGCTGCACCTGGTTTCCCGAGGCACGCTGAGATGCATGCGGACATGGGGGTTGTTCCAAAGTAGGGGACCTAGTCCTTAAAAACTGCCAGCCCAGCGATGCAACAAACAAACCAGCATGGCAACAAGAATCACAATTCTCCACGAAACAGTCGCCCAGATGTACCTTACGTCTCCAGAAATCACTGAGCCGCTCGTTGAGGTGAATTGAGGTGCAAAATGTTCGCGCAGCTCCGGTGTAGCTCCTCGTCGTTCCATCGTTGACGGATGCACTTCCTGAAGCATCGTCTCCACAGCGGCGCATCAAGAATGTATGGGCTTTCCTACTTCGTTCTCAGGAAAACAAGATCCTCCATGCATGCTACCGCTCACAAGGCGTTGACAGTTTGAGGACTTTTTCCCAGCCCTGTCCATGTCCACGTTGCCCAACGCGTAGCGATCGCTCGGCTCTGATATCTGGGACGCCTATCCCCTCAGGCGTTTCAGACCCGGAAGGTACTTCACAAGTGCCTGATGTAGCTTCCTGATGACAGAGTCTTCTTTCTCGGCCCCGACCTTGTTTCAGCGTGAAAGTTATACTCGGTGAGGAAGCGTTGGGCATGCCATAAGAGGCCGGCTTTTTGTGGGTTTACTGGCAGCTAAACTTTAGTTTACTTCAGGCCTTCGTTTCAGCTCACGGCCGATGGCCACGACCTCCATCCAGACCTCCATTCGTTCTGGCTCTTCCCTTCCTTCTGGCCCTGAACATAGCTCCGAGCCGCCTCCTCCAATCGACAACCGAGACCCCACCGTCATGTCTTCTTCGCTGTTGCCCTGAAGTATTAAGCCCCACCAAGCCAATCACCGGTCACAATCGATGATTGTTTCTAGATGTCGTCAAGATGGTGGTGCACCCTCCTTCCCAGAAATTCCTTGCATGATAAGCTGACGCTGCATGCTGCTGGCCGCAAACAGCTTTACAGTTTGGAGAGCCATTGACTGCAGCAACCATAACCTTTGATGCGATTTCGGTCTCAAGCCAAGCTAGCTGTTTTGTGAAGGGTCTTATGGGTCTTGATCAAAGCTGATGAGCAAGTATCCATGGAGCCTGCGCAGGGAAAGCATTTGCACCGGAGGACTCAGGACTTGCCATGGCCATGACTGGCCGTTCCCACTTCGTGGCGCGGGGTTTCGCATCCCGCATGGAGACGTTCCGCTGGTCTGAGAAGGCCCGCTCGCCGTCGAAGAAAGCGGCAAACACGCGCTTGGCTGAACTAGCAAAGCCGCTGGCGGCCTTGAAGTCGGACCCTTGGGCCCTTGTGTTGGATGCAGCCTCCCTGGCTTCCAGCACAGCGCTTCATGGTGCAGGATTCCGCGCCGGCCGCATCATTGTACCCAACGACAGTGATGCACCTTTTAGCAGCAACAGTTTAAGCAAAGCAACGGTGATTCAAGGCTTGAGCTTGAAAGACTTCATCATGCAAAACTCGAAGAAAGACCGCAGTGTTGGCGGCTATGGTCCTTTCACTTGCGTGTACTGTGACTTTACAGAATGCCTGTATGGAAGTTGGAGACCGCCACAAGAGCTTGAGGAGCCTGGCACTCCCACTGTGGCTTACAGGTCCAGTCCGGGCCAAGACCTGCAAGCGCTCTTCCGCACTGGCCAGCTGGCAAGTGGGGCCCTGCTCGCTGTAACCTTGGCACACTTGCGCTCAAACAAGAAGCCTGAGCAGTGGCCGCAGCTGCGATTGCTGATCGGCGCGCTGGCCGCAGAGCAGGGGTGGTGCAGCGTTGTTGTGGATCGCTTGGAGCAACGTGCCGTTGCCACCGAGTACTGGGTCCTCGGTGAACCGGACAACGTTGGCCTTCAACAGGTGCTCAAAAAAGAGCTTTCAGAGCTGGCCAGAATCCAGGATTTTCCCTGACACCTCGCAGTGCAGTGTTGGCCTGCTGGGCTGCTAAGCCTTGTAGATATTGACTGGGCGCTGGTCAATCCACCGAGGATTTGCAAAAGCATCGTTGATTGTCCCACGCCCATATTCCTGCAGCATCCTGCGGCAAGATTTCCGCAGCCTGTCCCTGAGAATGGCGAGATAGAGTTCGGAGCTGGGGAGAGCACCCTACTTTCCTTTCTCTCATAGTCTCATGCTGCTAGCAAGGCCCTGTTGACGTACGAGGCCCTTTGGCCCCCAGCCATCAGAGAGAAGAGAAGAGGCTTTAGAGAAGAAAGGAAGAAGAGGCAACTCGAGAGAAGACCGACTTAAGAAGTGTTTAATCAGGCACTTATCCCTTCCGTATTCGCCTGCAATCCTGTCATCATTCTTCTAAAGTAAACCTATCCTGGGACATGGCAAGGTCATGGGTCGAAGTTTGATCTCAGGACAATCGCTCTGAAAGAAAGGCAGACGCCCGCACAGGGGCGCCAAAGCACCCTGGGAAAGGGAGGCATGCCTGGGAACACTATCTCTGGAGTGGATCGGGATTGTAACGGTCACGCCGCTTCCCAATCTGGGTTATTTGCAGCACGGCGTCGCGTGACCTGTTCTCCGGGGGAGGGAGGGGGGGTGAGGAATACAACCGGGCCCTGTGGTGGCTGGGTTGACCCTCAATAATGCGGCCGCCCAAGCGCGGACTCGTTGCCACTCCCAGCAAGCCAGTGAGCAAGCGCCAGGAGGGGTGAAGAGTAAGACAGTGCAGCCCCAGAAAGATGACCAGAGCTCTGCAACATCGCTTCAGTTCCACAGTCTGACGTGTGTGAGGACCTGGTGAAGCGCCCGATCCCCAAGTTTCAGCCGGTCGGTTATGCCGTTGCAGAGGTAGCAGTTCTGCCTCTGATGACTTGCTTGTCTGCGCAAAGAGCGTATGCAGGTGACAACTTTGTGGAGTTGTGGGGGGCTGATGGCAGCGGAAATGCCCGGCCCTTTGTATTTATATTGTGGGAATTTGTGGGACCAAGGAATTGTGGGGCGCTGGCATCTGAGGTCTGCCTGCCAGAGAATGTGTCCCATGCTGCCGCTGAAGTTGGGCGAGAAGCAGATGTTGTCCAAGGCTCAGCTGCACTTGCGTAAACCCTAAAGGAACTTAACGGCCCTAAACGCGCGCGTGCGTGTTCCACTGATCCAACGATGACCCAGATTGCTCCCTGCGGAACTTTGGCCCAGGTCATGGCAGATGGCGGGTTCCTGGTCCTCAAGGGTCCGAGCCTGTGAAGCTAGGCGGAGAATGCGGCGGGTGCATGGCCAGCAGCTGAGCAGGAAGCAACGGTGAGCACATGGAGAACTACCAGGATTCTCTTTCAAATAATGTCGGTCTATTGCTTGCAGTTGCACCTTAGTCTGGTTGATGCTTGCGATACCTGGCTTCATATTTTCAGGAGATCGTCTCTGGCAGCATCCTTTTGGCTGAGGCGTGGTTGTGAGGTTGCATGCGCAGCGCCCGATCCCCACCCCAGCCAAAATAATAATGGCACCTGACTCTCTGGTGGCAGAATCTGGCAGACGTTTCCTGCTGTAGCATTTGCAAGTCAAGCTGCAGCTCGAGACTCGTCCAGAGAACTTCCGGCTGATCCAATGCGCTCGATTGTGGGCTTCTTGCCTGTGATTAGACACTTTCGTCTCCTTCCCACCGCCCCTGACGAACGTTTTTGTTTTTAAATGTTTAAGCAGCCCTCCGGTGCGGCTCAAGGATATGCGTTGGTGGCCGCGCTGGCAGCTGCTGCCGCCTCGTCCTTATCACTTCCGATGACATGTTTCATTTTGCACCTGATGGTGACGGTCGCGCGCGTTCTGGTCCTCGACTTCGCCGTCCCCCCGCCAAAACCACCACATCCACTACCACCGTCACCACCGGCACACCGCCACCGCCGCCGCCCCCGCCCCCACCCCCCACCACCCCCCACCACCCACCACCGCCCCCGCCGCCACCACCAACCACCACCAACCACCACCAACCACCACCACCCACCACCACCCACCACCCACCACCACCCACCACCGCCCACCACCGCCCACCACCGCCCACCACCGCCCACCACCGCCCACCACCGCCCACCACCACCCACCACCGCCCACCACCACCCACCACCACCCACCACCACCCACCACCACCCACCACCACCCACCACCACCCACCACCACCCACCACCACCCACCACCACCACCGCCGTCGCTTCATCAGCATCATCATCGTCATCATCACACCAGCAGCATCACCATCATCAACACCATCATCGCAAACCGTCATGTTTTTTTTTAAAGCTCGGCATCTCATCGTGATCGTCTTCGTCATTCCTCGTCGGCATCATCTTCATGGTCATCGTTGTGGTGGTTGTGGTTCTGGTGGTTGAGGTTGCCCTCTTAATTTCCCTGCGAGGCCTCCACGGCTTTCTCGCAGGTGGCCCGTACTGCGCGGGGTGGCGAAACTGATGTCCAGGTGCTGCCTCGCAGGAAGGATGTTGGAGAGCTTCTTCTCTGGGCGAGAAACCTCAAAACGGTCAGGTAAAGGGCAGCGGAGTGAGCGTGAAGCTGGACGCACCCACCAAGCCGAGAACGGCTACAAGCAGCTGGGCTTTTGCATTTGCTGGAGTCTTCCTTCTTTCTACAGGTCATTTTGCCGTCAGCCCTTGCCCTCTTCTGGTGTGGTCCAGGCGAGAGCAGCTCTGGCAATGCATTGCTGGCAGCGCTCGTTGGAGGCATTGCAGGCAAGTCCTGTCTTGCAACTTGAGTTCCTGGTGAATTCTTTCCGGCAACGTCAGCTAAGCTAGTGACAGAATGCAGAGGATCAGAGTGAGCTTCCACCCTGCAGGCCTTGCTGCAGCTGCTGCTGAAGCAGCGCAGGGCTTCATTAAGCTGCCACAGGACGTCGGACCTGGTCGATTCTGATGATTCTGATGGGCCAGAACCTGTCGACATGAGACTTCGATTGGAAGTGGAGTTCACGTTGAATTTGCCATGAGGAGCCGTGGTCTCCTGCAAAGGACTCGGGGTTTGTTCCTGAACTTCACGCAACAAAAGACAGTGCAGGGAATGAGGCCAATGCGTAGGCGCCACCAGCTCATCAGTGCTTTAGAAATCTTCCGAGTGCTTGCTTGCCATGGTTCGCTTGTCTTGAAGGAGATCGGTGTCACTCGGCCCCTGGAATTTTTTGATCCGCTGAAGCTGGCTGAAAACGATGCTTGGTATGACATTAAGAGCTGAAGCTCGCTATGCTCATGCTCATTGTCCCAGCAAAGCCGGGCACTTGTTTCGAACCAAGGAGGAGAAGTTTCGAAAGTTCCGCGTGGCAGAGATTAAGCATGGTCGCACTTTAGCTCATTCAGTTTCGAATGCTTGTGGCTCATTCCCTTCTTTATCGCTCACTTGTCCGCCTGCATATATTTTTCCTGACAAGGGGTGAGAGTATGAGGTGTTGCCATGATGGCAGCTGCCGGAGCAGTTGTTCAGCATTTCGTGGCCTGGCTGTGAGAGCTAGAGAATCTCATCTAGGCGGAAGCTTGCATGGTGAACCACTTTTCAATTGTCCAGGGCTTAAGGACTCAAACAGGCACAGAGCTGACGGCAACGAGCCATCACCTTTGCATGCGAAGCAAGGTCAAGCTGCCCGGCTTCAAGGACCCCGACTCAACACTGCATAGGACGGTGCTCTTTCGCTGCATGGAGAGTTTGTCATGCTTAGCTTGCAGCAAGATAGGACGTTCCCTCTGGCGTGGCCGCTTTGCAGACCACCAAGGGCACCCTGCCTGAATTTCGGATGATGTCAGGCCAAGGCGCGCATCTGAGCTTATGCTGCTTATGGTGCCACGAAAAGGTCAGATCGCTGCTGGCCTGCTTTTCGTTGCATGCGGCTTCATGGAGCAGAAGGTCTGGAAGCAGGCGAAGATTGCGCAATTTCTCGAGTGCAGCTGTAGCAGTTTTAGCTGCATTTTAGCTTGCCCAGCAGAGCGCCGGTTGTGTGGCACTCGACCCAGGATGACGCCAAGGAACCGCGGCCAATTATGACCTGCACGGACAGTTAGTCTTTGGACACGGGTCAGACGCGGGCTCTGTGCCTCATGATGACTCATGGAATTTCTCCGTCACTAGTGCCCAGGAACCTGGAAACTTCGGAGATCCAGCCGGCTGGTCGCAGACCGGCCTGGCAGGAGGCGAGCAGTGGCCATCGCTGTAAATGCACTGTAGCGCTTGCATTGACGCCGCGCAGGGATGCGGTCGTTATTCTTTTTGAAACACAGGCACTTACAGCAAGACCATGCGAGAGCGCGAGCTGAACAATGGCCGATTTGCCATGCTTCTTGGCCCTTCTTGCTTTGTGAAGAAGCAGCGGGCTGGCAAGCAGTTTCCGAAGGTGGATCCCATGAAAAGAAGATGCGGAAGCAACAGCACTGCGGCACATCCTGAGGTTCGCATCCATGGGCATCATTGCAGCCGAGCTGTATACCGGAAAGGACCTTGTTGCTGCTGAGTTGCTGAGGAACAGAATGTGACAGCTTCCTGCTTTCGAGGATGCCATCGAGCAAATCACCTTCAAGTAATTCCAGAATTAGCACGGTGGCCATGGGCACTTTAAAACAACAACGAGGCCCGCAGCTCTGTACCATGTGGTACTGCAGCCATGCAACTTATGCTCTGGCGGCAGCAGTAGACAATGAAGCCAGCCGGGAGTGCAGACTGCAAGCTGACGTTCAGCCTGAAGCCTGGACAATCGAAAGGAGAGCATGGTCTATCATTGGCTGGGTAGGACTCGTTTCAATTTCTGACGGGTATAACGGTCACAGGCGTCAGGCGAACTTTTTCCAAACAAGCGGCCATGTCGGCCCCTACGGTGATGGGATCTCTAGATGTATCTAGTAGTGATATGGCCCGTACTGAAAAATCTGACAAACAGAAGCGCTACATCACCAGCCGAAGATCGCGCGAACGGCGACAGTGACACCATCATATACCATCATCCAATCGTCTGACGATCTGCATCTGCTTTCTTTATCAGCTGCCAGCTTCGCTGCAGCGACGAGCATTTGCAGCATCTTGCAGCTGTCCGGCGTTGTTCGGCCGGAGGGCCGAACGCAAAATACCGCCGTGCTGCTCCCAGACTTACGTGAGACACACTCTCACATCGACGCACATTTGAAAAAAGTCTTCTTGCCGGCATCTTGTGCGGTCACCATCGGAAATCGGAAGCCTCTCGCGCCGAGCGCGTTGAATACGTTTCTTGGCAAAGGTGCGATTTGCGCTCGAGACGTTGCAAGAAGGCCAGTCATGTTCGTTGTGGCTGCTAGTAGAGCAGACCGCCAGACCGCTCATTTGGTTCTGAGAGCTTTGGCAGGCGGTTGCTTCATTTGCAAGTTCTTCGACACCTTTACGCATGTGGTAGCCTTAGCAGCCTTAGCATGCTGAGAAGGTTAGTCTGACAGAAAAAAGTTGGATTACACCGGTTGTTGGTACTGAGATCAGCTGCAGCTTGCTCTACGTTGCCCAGCTCCCAGTAGAAAGACCATGCGGAGTCATGCTGGAAGTGTTCCCTTCTCCTGTCGCTCTCCACTTATGCATGTGCAGCTTCTGCACCTAAGCGCATGAGCTCAGAGGCAGTCCTGTGCCAACATGTGGCAAGGTTGCGGCTCTTTTCCAGCGAGTGGATATCGTGAAGCCGCGCCACAGCAGAGTGGTGAATTCTGAGCAGCAGCCTTGTTGCATTGCCAGGGTCGACTGTACAGGATGCTTGATTCTGACATTGCAGTTTTTGTCGCAGCATCTGCTCGAAGTTCAGACTAGAGCAACATTCTCTGAAGACCAAACCTGCGGACTGTCATATGGCTGCCAGGGCTAAGCACTCGTACAGTAATACGTACATAACGCACTGGTGTCAGCGGCCTTCTTCAGGTCAAGTTCGTGAAGTTTCTGTAGGCACTGAAAGCTTGTTCTAGGCTTCCAAGCTTAAGTTAGTCCTGGCGCGACAACACTTTCCATGCCGCTCCTGCGGCGCATTGCTCGCGTGGCTACGCGCCTTACTACACCCTGGCAGAAGGCCGTGAGCTGTCCAGTGTCATGTCAAGCAGGTTTATCCGAGCCTGGTAGCTATAGAGGCATGTCTCTAGAGAGGGTGCAGGGAGACGGAGCTCTGCAGATTCCTTGCTGTGTAGGGGGCAGTTCATGCTTGTTCGCCGAAGATGTTTCGGCACCAAGAGCTTTGCAATCTTCTCCCTCCGTAGCCAACCTTCAGCACATGCCGAAAATATGCCGAACCTTCTCGCGCAGACCATCGTTTTGATTTTCCAGTTGAACAGCGCTTTGCTGGTGGGGTTTCTGGCCTTTCGCTTGGGATGGGTAACTGAAAAGCAAGGTTTGGCCTTCCTGACAGGGCGAATCGGCCTCCCACTGCTTGCCTTTAAGGCCGTGGCTACAGCAGATCTCGATGACATGGAGCTGGGAGTTACCATCAGTTGTACCATTGGCAAGCTCTTTGTGTACTTGCTGGCTTGCGCTGCAAGTTGGGTGGGTTGTCGCAAGGAGTCGCGAGATAAGGCGCTGATATCTGCCGCCATTTTCAGTTTTCATGTGACGGCAGCCAATGATTTCGTGTTTGGCTTCCCAATCGTTCAAGCCTTCTATCCGGACAAGGGCATCACCAACCTGGTGGCCAATGTTGTTGTCCAAAACGTATTTTTCCAAGTGTGCAGCTTATCAATGCTTGGCATTGGCACTGCTCAGGAGAGGCAAGCAGAGGCCTCCTTCACCTCAGCTCACACGGGATACTCCCATCGGAGGCAGTGCATTCGAATATTGAAACAGTTAGCACAAGATCCCCTCTTGTGTGCAATCGCCTTTGCGGTGATCTACAAAGCTTTCGCGAGGCTGATTGCGCCTCATACGCCTGGGTCGTCTGTCATCCCGGGTCCAGTAAGCGATGTGATCGACTTTTTCACGAAGCCCTTTTCTACGACAGCCTTGATGCTGACGGGTGCAAATCTTGCAACTGCCCTTGACAGGACAGGTGGGCATAAGATCGAGGGAGGTAGCCTGTATCTTGTTGGTGTTCCTATTGCATTGGTAGTGGCTAAAAACATAATTTGCCCATATGTGACTTTAGCTGCGTCCGAGCTCATTTTGCCCGGGGGTGAGAACAACAAGTGGCACAACTTTGCCTTCCTATACGGTTCGATTCCTACTTCTTCAGCACCGATGCTCGTGGCCATGCGGGTTGGCCATCATATTGAAGTAGTGGCGGCCGCCGTTTCCATCGGCATCATGGTCGCAATTCCGATGTTGATTGCATGTGCTGTGCTTTTGGGCAGTGATACAGTCGACGCTGCACGCGTGGAGACTGAGCTTTACAACAGCCAAGTGGCTGCGCTCGTCGTCTCGCTGTTAACGACAGCAGGTGCGCTGCTGCTGTTCCGGCTTCATGACAAGACATCTCCCTGGTGGGCATTCCCTCACGTCATCCTTGTGTGGTACGGTGGCGCGTGCTTCCTGCATGCCGCATGCAACCTGGCCACTTCAATTGCTCTACCGGTGTGCGACTTGCTCAGTGCCCGGATCATGGCCTATTGCGAGGTTCAGAGCTACATTTTGATAGCTTTGATGGCACTTTTCAGTGTTTTGGACTTTCGGTCAAGCAGCCTTGCCAAGTACATGTTGTGGATCGCCATCCTTGCACCAGTGCCATGCTGTGTCTGGGTGCCCACTCCAAAAGTCAACAGAAGCTGTATTCTTGGTGTGGGGGAAGCCAGTGGCTTCAATTTGTCTGTCAGTGTTGTGGGCTTCGTGGTCATTTCGGTGCTGATCATTGCGGGGATTCTTCTGCAAAGGGGAAGGTCTTCAACTATAGACACGCGCCTGACCGAACTCAATCCTGCCCTCCAAGACCCGCTGTCCCCGGAGTCCCCGTTGGACTCGCCCCTGAACGCCAATACCTTGGTGGAGTTTGAACCAGACTCACCCATCCGCTATGACCACCGCAGCCCAACGTCCAGACGGGGAACTATCGACCAGACTTTGCAGGACATGAACGTGACGGGTTCCTTTGTGCAACAGATGTCGACTATGAGTGCTGGGAGACAGCCAACCCTGGAAGAGTCGATGCATGGCACCTTTGCCAGAAGTGACATGGCTGGATCCTTCGTGGACAGCAACAGCAACCTCAAGTTTGCAGTTCTCGTAATCGCTGCCAAAGCTCTTGTGGTCTTGGCCATCTCAACACTCGTGCGATCTGTTCTGCTTATCCAGAGGCAGCTGCACCAGGACATGTTTCAAAACCGTGGGAGGGGAGCTTCTGTAATCGTGTCCGAAAGATTCTGAAAGTGCCGAGAGTTTCCCGATCAGGACCTTGAATCCTCTTTGGTGCTTGGGCTCCTTGTGGAGCTCTTGTTCGAACACTCCGAGGGGTTGTTCCTGCTTCTGGTCGTCCTGAGCTTCTTTGATACGTCCTGTTCCAAGATGGCACGCAAACTGCGGCATCGACGTCAAATCATCCTGGCTAGGCTTCCCATCCGGAGTCGGCAAACATCCGAAGTCGCTCCAAGATAGACTTCATGGCGACTCCACAAGGACTCCTTTATGCTCAATGAGCGTAAGTGTCAGGAAAAAGAAACGCCACGGGTTGCAGTTGTGTTCTCTACGTGGCTTTGCACAGTGTCATCGTCTTGCAGAGATGTGTGTGTGTGTGTGTGCGCGTGTGCATCATGTTGCTTTGTTCCTACGCGCTCAAGCTCACTCGCTCTCATCGCTTGCTCTCTGCCTCTGTCTCTGTCTCTCCCTTATCCTGGCACTCAGCCCTACACTGCCCTACACTGCACGAAACTCAAGAACTCACGCAAATCATTCCTATGGCTTTTTCGCTACACATCACTGGTGTGAGGGCTCCGCGACTCTGCGGCACTCCGCTGGGCACTCCTTGGAGCACTCTCAGGGCTTCCAAAGCTGGAGCCGAAGAGCGTGCTCTGCCGTTGAGGCACAGGGTATGGCCTAGGGGGTGTGGAGACCTGAAAACTATGAAAACTCTACATGAAGTTCATGAGAGCTGTGATTTTCCAGGTTGCACTGCCGGATGACGAGCCTGTGAAAGACGGCACAGATGGCACAGAGGATGGAGTGGAGGAGGCCGCGGGGTGGCGAACCATCCTTAAGAAAGAAAGCACGCACATCGAACCTTCGATTCGTAGCACTTGGGCGATCAGGTCGACATCCCTCCAGAAGTGCTGGAGCTTTTTGACACCCTCCGGGGCGAAGCAATACGACGTTTCTGGTTACGCACGGAGCATGCAGCCAGGACGTGCTGCACTCATGTCCAGATAAGGCCTTCTGGGTCCCAGTTTCTTGGAATCCTGTTGACTCAGGTTTGGATGATTTTCAGCCCATTCATTTGTTTTCTCTGTGCTGGGCGTATTCCACAGCCCCCAGCCACGAAACGAGCGGAACATGTCTGCGCGACCTGTTGGTCGCTTCTGAGACCTTGGTCATCGAACATGAGGCACGCCTGCTGGATGATGAAATGCGCTGCCAGGCAAGGGTCCCGGCTGAGTCTGAGTAGATTATTGTGGAGACGAATTGGTGTTCAGCGGGTGGTCGTGCGCTGAGTTTGCTTCGGCAGGTGACTCGGGCAGCCCTGCACTTGGGAAGAAGTCGCGACAGGGAAAATGGCCAAGAGGCTCCTGACCTTGCAGACCTTGCAGACCAGATGTGACCAGATGATCGCAATTTATCGTAGGTTCGTGGAGTCATGCCTTCAACAGATGCAGGCCGACCAATCCAACAATGCCGTGGAGCTGGCTGAGCGCAGCTCCATGAACACGGGTTTGGAGGAGAGCCCCTTCGTCCTCCAGGCATCGACCTTAGGACATCTTGTGAATGTTCCCAACCCAAGTTCCGAATCTTTGACTGTGAGCTGTATGGTTCAGGAAGGTGAGCACTGGATGGCTCTCTTCAAGCCAGCACATTGGCAGGTGTCTGTGGATGCCAAAGAAGTCTGCGCCTGAGAGAAGGTTCACCGATATTCACCGGCTCACTGAGAAGCCTCCATGCCCACTGAGAAATTGAACCGCTGCCCATGAGTTCGTTTGCAGGCAACCAAAGCCGCATCTGCTACTCCGTTCGATGAGGAAGACGAAGGTGATGACGAACCAGTTGAAAGACCGCGAGTCCAGGCTGAACGCATCACCGGCGTTGACGTGCGCTGGGCCAACATGGCCAACATGGCTGGAGCTGTGACTGCAGGCATGGGTTCAGAAGAGCATGTCGCAGAGGTACCCGCACCTTGATGCAAAGACTCGACAATGCCTGTATGTGCACGAGATGCGAGAGCATGCTGTGGTGTCTCCACTCAGGATCTGCACCGATCCAGCCGAGGCCTACGGCTTGTTGCAGCCCTGCTGCACCAAAGTTTTTGGACATCGACGCGGTTTATGGTGCATGGTGCCGCAACTTTGCGTGATGGTGAGGCATAGATTAGATGCGCAAACCAGCGGCGTGTTGGTTTGCGCCAAGAGCTATGTCGGCTGCTGCCTCAGAGGAGAGCTAACATGCGCACTGTGTGTTCAACAAGTGATTGGATAAGCCACTGAAGATCTGCATGGGGAGGTGCATACTGGCTGCGTCTGCAGTGGTGCCAGTACTCCGTTGACAAAGAGCCAGAGCCCCAGTCCACGTTCAGCAGCATGTTGACAGCTGGTTGGCCCCTTTGCTCACAGCTCAGGTATGTTTGCGTTGTCCATGGATGGGTCGACAGTGCCATGCGAGAGATCCACAAGCGCATTCGCCGCTCAACCTAGCTGTTGTGCTATGGATAGCAGATGATCACAGTTCTGAGTTCTGATTGCCATGGGCGTGAGATCGTGGCATGGCGTCGGCATGTACGTAGCTGCTGCTTTGACTATTGACCGTAAGGGGCAAGCGTTCTGCATGCTGAAGTTTTGGCTCGCGCTCATGTGCGCTCTGTGTCGTGGTCGCCATGGCCGGCAAGCCACAGGCCACATGCCAAAAAGATTCGCAAGATTCGCGGCATTGCGATGCATAGAGCAGTAGCCGCCTCACTTGGGTCCATGGGTGTTGCAAAGGTCAGCCTGGCCCTTGTGGGGCCCGCAGGCTGCGGGAAGACCACGGCCTTGGCACGCCTGTGCTCCGAACTCGGCGCCTTTCCCGCGGAGGAGCACAAGCAGTGCCAGGACAACGATCAGAGTGAGAAGAGAACCACTGTCCGTTTTCATCACAATATTCATAGTTGTCCATCAGGGTGCCAGGCTCATGCAACTTTTGAGGGTACCCGTGGTTCTGCATGAATCTGCACGCTTTCTCGCAGCGATTGCCCATGTCTCGGCCGTGTGGAGGATTTGGCCTGGGAGCTTGGACGCCCATCTCACCGGCATGGTTGGATGCTTGACCGCCTGCCTTGCGAGAGCAGCTCTGATGCAGTGAGCAAGCCGTTGCTCTGACACAGGAGCTTTCACAAGCACCCTTCCATAGATTGTGAGGTTTGGTGGCAGTGTCTTTCAACAGTGCTTCTGAGGAGAGGAGGGCACGACAGTGACGCCAACCCTTCAGACATTCAAATCACAGTCTTGCGTATATTCCGCATTCGACACGCCTGGCAGAGAGGAGCAGCCGACCATGAGTCGTAGCCGACACCAGGTATAATGCTTGATGTTTTTTACGTGCTGTGACGTGTTCTGTGATGTGTTGGAGAGGATTTTGTGAGCAATTTTCTCAGCATCACGTCCTTGGCGGATGCAGCAGTGCTGATGGTGTCAGCTGCTTGGCCGCAAGAGTTGTTTTTGTTACAAATATTTATTCAATACTATTTTACTATTATACTTGTATATTATATCCACTTGGGCCGCGACTTGAAGCTTCGCGAAATCTTCGTGAAGCTTCGTGAGAGGCAGCCAGTGGCGAGTGGGAGATGGCCGTGGAAAGCGGACGAGCCAGAGAGCTGGCTCTCGACTGTTTCACCATGGGCATCAAGATGCTTGGCTGAGACATGAGACGGGCCCACATGGCATTTCATGAACTCGATCTTTTTGCTCGGTTTCTCCAAGCTGCTGAGGCATGTCCTAGTTTGGGTCACAAAGATGGACGACTTTACCGTGCAGTTCGATCAAGCAAGATTCGAAGAGATAAAGAAGGCCGTAACGGCCTACTTGAAAGACGTTGGGTACAAGCAGAAGGACAGAGCCTCCATAGGCACATGCTCGCCAACGTGACAAGCACGCGTGAGGGCGCAAGCGCATAGCACGGACTCAGACACAAATGTATGCACATGCTGCCGCATGGCCCCAGGATCCTGTGCCGGTGGTCCCCATTGCAGGCCTCTCAGGCGAGAACTTGGCCAGCAAGTCTGCAGAGATGTCCTGGTATGCTGGTCATTCGGCCATCGAGTCACTGGATGCCCTCGGCAGCATGAACAGGCCAGCAGAGCCCCGGTAGAATTCAGCATACACAAGTTTTTGTGCTTGAAGCTGAAGCAGTGTAGCTTCCGATTTCTTTATTACGTAACAGCGTGCTTTTCTAGCCCAGGAGAAGCCGCTGAGACTACCTGTGCTGAAAGTCCATGACCAGCCTAAGGCTGGCACCGTGGTTGTAGGACGCATAGAAACAGGCTCAATTCGAATAGGAATCAAGGTGATCTTCTCACCTAGTGGACTCGTCTCAGAAGTCCGATCGATTTACAAGGCTGGTGAGCCAGTCAGCGACGCCAGGGAAGGCGACATCGTGAGCATCGGTCTTGGTTCTGGTGACGAGTCTGAGCAGCTGCGGCCGTCGGACATCCGCCGTGGCATGGTCATCTCGGGTAGCACAGATCCAGCTGCTGATGCAGAGACCTTCCTGGCGCAGGTGGTTGTTCTGAACCATCCAGGGGTGATCCGTGCAGGATACTGCCCCGCCATTGCTGTGCACACAGCACAAGTACCTTGTGAGTTCGAGGAGCTCCTGAGCAAAGTGGACAGGAAGACGGGCAAGGATTCCGAGACTAACCCTGCATCCGCGAAGTCGGGAGATGTTGTCACAGTGAAGATGCGGCCTCGTGCACTGGTTTGTGTGGAGACTTTCAGTGCCTACCCTCCCCTCGGCCGATTCGCTATCCGCGATCACGGCCGAACAGTGGGAGTGGGAGTCATCAAAGAAGTCACCAAAAGGCCGGTGCCCAAACCGAGGAGCCACAATCAATATTTTGACCCTTCTGATGACACTTGATCGCTCCCAGAACCACGCATGCCCGCGCCGAAAAAGAAAGGACCTACAAGTAGAAGAGAAGTCAGCAAACTCCCTCTTGCATCATGTGGTCGAATACTATATTAGCAGAATCATGTGCATAAACATATATAGTAGACATAAAATTGTAACTTGATATGCGTACATAACATATAAACCAACGTCAATAAGACATGTATATACGTCATATATATATATATACACATAGTTTCTCGTATATATGGAAATGTGTATTGTGCATAGATTTATATGTACTGACACACACACACATATATATATATATATATATGTGCCATGGACCTTTAGGTATAATGTGATGACTTGCTTTGGGTTTTACTTCAACAGTACTAACAGTTATCAAATGAGTACTTGCGTTTTATATTCTGCATATTGCTACTAGAAAGTAGGTGACATTTTATGGCTTTTGGGCTCATGGTCTAGGGTTGTGCATTCAACGGTTATACAAGGATTGTACGAACAGTCCAGGGTTTATCACCCCTTCCTGTTGTCGAGGAGAAAAGGGGTCGGATAACAGGAGAAGATCAAGGAACCATGGAACTGTGTTACATTCAGTCACTATTCACTTTACACCCTCTCCTCTCTTCCCTTTCTTAGAAGAAAAGGAAAGTGGAAGGAATCATCAAAGAAAAAGTCCGTCTCACTACCTTCATCCACCGTCTCCTCTTTTTTTTTTCTCTCTCTCTCTCTCTCTCACTCTCTCTCTCTCTCTCTCTCTCTCTCTCTCTCTCTCTCTTGGCTCTTCTTACCGAGGAGAATAATGGCTACATATAAAGCACACATGTCAATCTCAACCCATTCGTCCTCCCTCTTCTGGCTGCTCTCTCACTTCTAGCTTTTGTCTCTTCTTGTTTTGCTTATGGAGGAGAGAATGCATAACACTAGATGAGCGAAGCGCATGGACGGGAAGAGCGAGAAGCAAGTAGTTGTTTGTTGCATAGGGGAGGCCCACTCTCCCCTAGAGCAGGGACGAGTTCCCCCCTGCTCCCTTCCTTTGCCTTCTTTAGTCCCTCCTCTGCGCTCCAACTGTTCTGTTCCGTCTTTTACGGAGAAAGAAGGGGTAAAGAAGAAGGACGAAGACGGTTCCCCTGTCCAATTGTGCATGTTCATTTTATCTACAGGAGTTAGCAAGAGTGTTTAAGCAAGCTAGATAAAGAGAACAACAAGAACAAGGACGAGGAAACCACGGTCAGAATGTACAAGGAAAAACACGAGGAATGAAATCCCATCGCAAAGATAAGTGCCCACACTCAGTCTCACTGCATTCATCCTCTAATCCTCTCTTCTTTCCCTTCTGTGGTTCTCTTCTTGTCCTCCTTCTTCTCTCTGCTCTCTCCCTTCTAGCTTGTGTCTCTTCTTGATTTTCTTGCGCGAGAGAGAATGCATAACACTAGATGAGCGAAGCACATGGACGGGAAGAGGAGAGAGAAGCAAGTATTTTTTTCTTGCATAAGGAGGCCCACTCTCCCCCTAGGGCAGAGATGAGTTCCCCTGTTCCCTTCCTCTTGCCTTCTTTAATCTCTCCCCTGCGTTCCAAGTTTTCCGTTCCTTCGTTTACGGAGACAGAAAGTTGTATTCACAAGGACGAAGACGGTTCCCCTGTCCAGCATGAGCTTTTGATCTTCCCATTCAGCGAGAAAGGAACAGACAACAGGGGAAAGCACAAGGAACTAACAAGAGAGTTTAAGCAAGCTAGATAACAACAAGGAAAAGAAAGAGGAAGCCACGAGCAGAATGTACAAGAAAAACACGAGGAAGGAATAAGTGGTGCTCTTCTTGCAGAATGGAGATTTAAGAACACAAGCCAATCTCAGTACATTGATCCTCCCTCTTCTCTCTGCCCTCTCCTAGCTTTTGTCTCTTCTTGTTTTGCTTGTGGAGGAGAGAATGCATAACGCTAGATGAGCGAAGCACATGGGTGGGAAGAGATAGAGAGGGCAAGTACTTGTTTGTTGCATAAGGGACCTAATTTTCCCCTAGAGCAGGGATGAGTTCCCGTGTTCCCTTCCTTTTGCGTTCTTTGATCCCTCCCCTGCGTTCCAACTTTTCTGTTCATTCTTCTAGGGAGAACAAAGGAAGTAAACCAAAGGACGAAGACGGTTCCCTGTCCTCTTGCGCTTTTTCTTTTGAACTTAATTACCCATTCAACGAGATAAGAACAGACAACAAGAGGAAAACAACATACATGCGACAAACATTTTTTCAGGAGAAGGGAGTCGGATAACAGGTGAAGAACAAGGAAGACATCCATCCTCTCCTCTGCTCTCTTATCTTGCTCTCTTATCTCTCTTCTCTGGCTCTGTTCTTGCCGGAAAGAAAGATGAATGTCCAAGAACCCAAGATCATCTCGTTACCTTCGTCCTCGCTCTCCTCTCTTCTCGCTTTTTCTCTGCTCTGTGTTTTTCTTATGGAGGAGAGAATAGTAAACAGTCTCGCGAAGTCGGATTTGGGGCTGCGCGCGGGGATCTCCCCCCACAAACCCCTCGAAAGAACGAAAGAAAGCGGGCAGCTGTTCGTTGCAAGGGGGGTCTCGGCTCCCCCTAGAGACCTAGCGCAGGCCTGAGTTCCCTGGGCTCGTCTTCCCCTAGAGCGCAGTTGAGTTCCCTTATTCCTCAGTTTTGCCTTCATCCCTCCCCAACTTTTCTGAGCAGAACGCACAAGAAAACACGAGGAGGGAATAACAGATGACAAAGATAAGTGCCCACACCCAGTCTCACTGCATGCATCCTCTAATCCTCTCTTCTTTCTCTTCTGTGGTTCTCTTCTTGCAGAATGAAGATTTAAGAACACAAACCAATTTCACTACATTCATCCTCCCTCTTCCCTCTGCTCTCTCCCTTCTAGCTTTTGTCTCTTCTTGTTTTTCTTGCCGAAGAGAGAATGCATAGCACTAGATGAGCGAAGCACATGGACGAGAAGAGAGAGAAGCAAGTACTTGTTTGTTCTGAGTTCCTCTGTTCCCTTCCTTTGCATTCTTTAATCCTTCCCCTGCGTTCCAACTTTTCTGTTCCTTCTTTCTTAAGAAGGTAAATACAAGGACGAAGACGGTTCCCCTGTCCACTTGCGCATGTTCTTTTGGTCTACCCATTCAGCTAGAAAGGAACAGACAACAGGGGGAAACACAAGGAACTAACAAGAGTGTTGGTGCTTGACCGCACCCTGGTCCCTTGCTCTCAAAGGGCTACTGTATACTTTGCACACAAACTCCAACATCGAACCTCCAGGCTTTAAGGCCTTTCTGACGCGGGCACATACGCATGAAACTTCTTCAGCTTCGGGAAGTTTACTCGCTTAACCAACTTCCCGTACTCACAGTACGCAGTTTGTCGAAGCAAAGGTGCTCGCAGGGGTATTTTCATCTTCGGATAGCCGTCCGCACTGTGAGCGTGATAGAACCCAATCTTGCCACCCGGCCCGAGTCGCACGTGCGACGGTCTCCGCTGTTTGGTCAAGCCACCACAAACGCCACGCTTGTTGCAAAGGTCCAAAGCCGCCTGCCTGGCAGAGAAGTGTTCATCTTTGGTACCCTCGCAGAATTTCGTCATGCAGTTCGCAATGGCATCTTCCAACGCATCAAAAGATTGAAACTGACCACGTCGACAAAAGGACTCGGCAGCGCGAAGCACCCCAGGCAGATTAACAGTGGTGATCCCTGTTTGTCTGTACGCTTTAGATCTCCGCGAGCTCAAGATGATGTTCGTGAACTCCTTCTTGTCTTTGGCTTTCAGCAACTTCATTGCAACCCCCCTGGGACTTTGCATGTATCTGACGGCAAAACAAATCGCGACAGACCAATAATCAGAACGAGCTTGTTTGACCACATCTTGTAGCTCCAGTGAAACAGCGTCTCTGAATCTGTCGATGTGACAGAAGCGGGTTGTGACATGGCTTCAAGGATCTCATTCAGCTTCGGAATGCTGTAGAACCTTTGTGGCAGGCATGCCTTTCCCAACCAAGGTCTTGGATGGCCCTGCTCTCTGCCAGAGTGTAGCTTGCGCAAAAGATATTCGAAGTCTTCGATGCACAGCCCAATGCCACGCCAAGTCCTGTGACGGCTTATTTGTGGCAGGAAACGACCATTGCAAGAGCCCGAACGTTTCTTCATTCCACCCACGCCAGAACAGCCACCCTGTCTTGCGCCGTTTATAACTTTCCCGTGGGAACACTTCTTGCACAGACCTCGTCGTGACAGATTGTAAACGCCAGCGCGACGTACACCCTGGAGTCCACAGCTCTTGCATGTTATCCATTGCGCATACGGCATTGTTTCTTAACGCCCAGAAAGAGAAGTCACAGTAGTTAAAACAGCTACAATACAGGCAGTGCAAAGCGAGGGTATGGCTGGGGTGTTGTATTGTGAGGCGACGTCTGAAAAAAGGGGCCGTTGTGTTACATGCAACATCCGAAGACCATCAAGACTGCGACTCACGCATTGTGCTGAAACTTTCGGCCGTTACGTTTGGGCTCTGCGAGACTGAGCCAAGAGAAACTGTAGCGACTGTGTACATCCTCAACAAGCCTTAAAACCTACCGTAGCTCTTTCCCACAAGGATCCCTGCCCCTCTTTGCAACAAATGCTGCTTCAGGCAGCAAAGCTTTGCGCTTTGTCTCTTTGGAGGGGAACTTAGACACAAAGTCCTAGGGACCAGGGCCTGCAGTTTGTTTCTAGAACTGAGACCAGAAATCTTAGGGGCCAGGGCTTGCGATTTGTCTCTTTGGAGGAGAACTGAGACCAAACATCTTAGGGACCAGGGCTTGCGTCGCTTTGAGAAGAGCTGAGACCAAAACTCTTGGGGACCAGGGCTTGCGATTTGACTTTTGGAGCAAATATTGACCCCAAAATCTTAGAGACCAGGGCTTATGATTTGACTCTTTGGAAATTTGAACCCAACATCTTAGGGACCAGGGCTTGCGATTTGACTCTTTGGAGCAAATATTGAACCCAAAATCTTAGGGACCAGGGC